TGATTAATTGTTGTAAACAGTCGGTGTAAACCATCAATGTACCAGTCAAGTTTAAACCTGGAAACAGTGTTTTAAGATGACCACTGTGCAAAATAAATAAACACTATTAGTTTTTTTAAATTCTGTTTTATTGTCTTTTTTTTCAATTTGCTCACATTTTCGTGTAAATTTGATGTTTTCCCAAATCGGCCCACTAGAGGGCAATAAGATGCCATTTGACGGTGATGACTCCTCTGAAGTATTTGGTGGCACTGTATGAGGTTTTTATTGTTTACCTGATGGATCATTAAAGACAGAGTCATACTTGAAGTTTCGTAGCTCACACTTTGAACTAACACTATCATTTGCACACTTATGATGGGACCACAGTCACTGGATGCTTAATTCAACCACACAATAATACTCGGGAAACACCACTTTAACTCATCTGGCCTCCTGCCATAACCACCTGCAACACACACACAAATCCAAGGTTCCAGGTCACTGTTGACCTACAAGGATACACATTGCACAGCGACAAGTTCATCTTACGTGATCCATGATCAGAGGCATGGCACTGAGTCATTTCAACAACATCATCAGTCCACGTCTTGGATTCCAAAACAAATAATTTCAGTTTTGTTGTACCCCCGTGTTACAGTGACAATAAAGACTATTCTATTCTATCTGGGCGGCTGACGTAGAGCCTTAAACAGCCTCACACAGTCAGCTTTGAACTAAGCAAACTGTCTTCTCTTCTGCCTCTCTTCAAGGCCTTAAAGTCACAGACAGTCAAGTCACTTAGCTTTATTGGACTGCAATCTGTCAACATTCAAAAGTAACACAAAACCATCACAGACAGTTGGTTTCAAGCTGTACCACTCATTTCTCCTAAGATGTACTTCAAATATTCTTAAGTCTATTTCCGTATAAGTACAAAAGTCAGTGGACTCACATTACAAAGTCTGTAGTGTGGACAGACTGAACAACACACCTTGACTGAAGGAAAATGTCTCTGTAAATAAATGAACAAGTGGACACAGTCCAAGTAACCACAGCTACTACGGTGTGGTTTTTGGTGTATCTTCTTATAACCACCAGCAAATAGTCAATGTTTACCCCAGTTTACACATCCTTGTATTACAAACTATCAATAAATATCTTCATAGACAACTCTTCTCTTTATTCACCTTCAAAAACTACAAACTTGGTTTGCGGTTGCCATCAGGGTGGAAACCCGCTTAGTGGATCGGCCCAAGTTGATCTCTGGAACAACAACAACAAAAAAAGTTCCTCATTATCACAAGCTCTACAAAGATGCTGTCTGTCTGTGATTCATTATTTCAATTCTCTAATACTGTGTTCAAACTGTTTCTTTAGCAGTAATCAGGAAGCCGTGTACTATCTGCACCCCCTCTTGTACGGTTTTAATTAGTTCACGTTGCGTGTGACGATTACCTACCGATCTGTGGATCCCTCAGGTCGAACGAGTTCATGAAACACTGACAGCCCATCTGCTCGTCTGTGGAAAACATGACGATGTTGCTGCTGAAATCGAACCCTCTTGTTCTAATGCCGGACATTTAAGAAGTGACACAGAGCAAAAATTAAACACCAAAACATAAAACTCTTGACAGGAAATTGTCCAAAATACATTTAAACACTCATACAATAATAGGTCTCCTGGAACCGCCTATTTAGCTAAATGTTTATTTAATTTCATTATTTCACAACTCAACCATTTACACTGCGCATATTTTATATATTATATATTTATTTTACATAACATAACATAACATATAAGCTGCCTTTTGGTCCCTACCGCAGGTACTTTTGCCGGTCCAGAGCGTTTTGTCGACATTATGGGGTTTGATAAACTCGAAATTGCAAGAGAATTTGCACGTACGTAATGTCAATTTGGCAAGCTGTTTTACGTACGTGTACATATTAAACCGCAACGTTATTGGCGCACAGGTAGAGAAGAAGCGGAGTGACTTTTTAGCCAATCAGAATGCAGAACACAATGCACGATGCAAATCCGTGAAGTAGCGAAACCGTGAAAAGTAAACCGCGTTATAGCAAGGGATCACTGTATTATTTGTCTAATTAAAAATATGTGTAAAGTTTTCATTTGATAGAACCAGTATACTATACATAACTATATATCGCAGTGTTTTAGCAATTAGCTAAGTGTTAAATAAACAATAGCATAGCAATGATAGTCACTACAATTACAGTACTCAGTAAAACAAGTGATCTGCTTCAAGTAAAGTTGCTCCCTCACTCTACCTGGCGGTGTCCACAAGCCTAACACTTTAGGCCTCCACCTCACATGTCCATCTTCTCCATTACAGCTGTTGTCATTAACAGCTATAGCAGAGGAGGCACAATGAATGGAAGAATGAGCTGGAATCAAAAACTGTCCAAACTACATTTGGACACTCTTGGCCACCTGTGTAGGGAGACATTGTTGAAGGTAAACATTAAAAGGCTTCAATGCAATCATGGCTTCACTTCACAAATTATTGGTTTGCTCTACATTACTGACGCCACCAATAACCTCATGAGAGAAGAAATCCATGTTGTACTCTTTTCCTTTTAATCTGAATGAAAATAAATCAATTCTACTGGCCTCAGTCCCCTTTTCATGATTACAAATATGATTTTCATATCATACACTATAGAGCATATAGCCTTATGTTTGTAACACAATTGCAAGTCAAAACTAGCAGAGTCGAGTTGCCATTTGTAGCTCCACGTAGACAGTCCATATTCTTAACGTCAAACTAACTACTATCCTATAGTCATTGGTGGCAGTTGTTAAGCACAATCATTTCATGTCACTTACTTGATCTTTAGCGACGGAAAACTGAAGGTCTCCTTCTCCGTTGTACTTGATCTGAGTGATGGACCGTCCGTGGTCCTGTAGTAGGATGGGTATCTGTACAGAAAAGCAATATTTGCAAGTTCATTTAATATTTTCAAAAAGGTGCATCAGCCCAGCTCAAACTCCTGTCACAGGCCAATTTCTTATTTACCACGACAACTCTATGTTCATTATTTAGGACGAAAAACTAACTACGAATCATTTTAACTTCTGACAAAAGCTAAAGTTAGCTCCCGAGACACATATGCTAACTTATTGGCACTAACGGTCTCGGTCGAACACCTCCCATTTCAAACAAAATACAACCGACAATTGTTTTAAAAAACCCACCTTTTAAATCAATCACATGTAGCCACCGTACCTGGCTTTTTGACTTGAACGCCCGCTGGAAGACAAACGGCTAACACTCGTTAGCACACACCTCCTCCGGATGCGCAACCGGAAATAAGGACCATACAGCGTATTCCTATTTCCGTTATAAAAACGTTTCAATGTCAGCGCGCCCCCTACAGTTGAACGCTGACATTCACATTCTTTTTGGTTTAGGGAAGTCTCTTAGAACTTTTTCTTTGAGCAAAGAGCGAAAGAGCGTGCTTTGATGACTCAATATAAATCTACAAAAATCAATTAAATAATTTAAATACAAAACAATTTCAAATCGATATAATCTATAATCAATTTATGTCCATCCCTGACCTCTTCTGGCAGAAGCACAACCAGACAGAGAGTCAGTCATAACATAGATGACTGCGGTGTGAAGGACTGTGTTCTTATGTGTCTGCGGTGTTGCTCTCCTGATGCATGCATTTACAATTTGCATCTTAACCATCTCCACTGACGTCTGCACTTTTCGAAGCGTTTTTTTCCTTTGAGGACGTGGTGGAGTATCGGGTGTGGTAGACATTTTTAAACGGCGCGGGTGTGTGCTGTCTGTCTCTAGGCAACTGTGACAAAGGCACAAGCAGGCGCAGAATCACGTACGTTACTCACCGAAGTCCAGTACACTATTTTAAAAAATGCTTTAATAAGTAAAAGCACACACACACACAATATATAAATTAATATTACCTACTCAATGACTTACCTATACTTCCACTAAAAACATGGATACAAGCCTGAATCTGTTTTGGAAATAAAAAAGCTGTGAGGCAGAGACGCATAAAACCCAAACACATCCCTATTGTGAAATATAGAAATAGGAATTTAATGGCGTGAGGATGCTTGAGTGGGTCCTGAAATGAGGGTGAAAGGAAGATGGGCAGAAAAACCTCAACTAAGCACTGGAACTAGATTGTAGTTGACAGCTGGTCTCCCAACATGCCTACTATTGTAAGCAAATTGCAAAACTGTTTGAAAACTATTCTATTCTCTAGAGGGAAAAGCCAGTGCTGTATGGCTCAAAGACTTGATTTTATTCTCACACATAAATAAGAGGCAAATAAGAGAACATCTAATCTGGAAAACTGGTACTGGTAACAGTACTCTGCTGGCTAATCTGTAACTAGTTGAGCTCGTTGAGTAGATAGATGAATGGGTAGATAGATAGATAGATAGATAGATAGATAGATAGATAGATAGATAGATAGATAGATAGATAGATAGATAGATAGATAGATAGATAGATAGATGGATACACATCAAATCTGTGGTTTCTTCCTCTCCTTGATTTGTACTCTTTTCTAAGAACCTTGTTATATATCTGATGTCTTTTTATAAGTGCCCCCCACCACCATCACTGCACCCTTCATTTGTTGTGTAGAACACATTTATCCACCAACACAGATACACTGGCTGCTTGACTTTGAATTAATCCCACACATACACCACCTGCCAAAGAAACTGGAACACCAGAAGTGTATTAATCCACTGATTTAGGAAGGAAATAAAAGTCTGCAGTGTTGGTCTTGTACTCAAGATATTTCTGGATTCTGAGTTTATGTTGCTCAAGATTTGTTTTGCGCCAATTTCTAAATGAAAAGCATTTATCATGCTCACATATGCCAAGGTGGTGCTAATAACTTTTTTAAAAATGTTGGCGCAGCTCTGGTTGAATTTAGTCAGATGGATTGAAGACTTATTGAATATGAAGTCCTTTGTTTGTGGCAGCTTCTCTCCACCTGTCACCTGTCCGCCTTTAGAGAAAGGGGAGAGGGGGGGGGGGGGGGGGGGGTGGGGGTGAGGTTCTCAAAGACCAGTGACTTTGAACACTACCTTACTATATTTATTTTAAATGTATTTAATTATAACAATATATATATAATACAAATACAAAACATGAAAAATGCAGATTTTTTTAGATTAAATATAAAATATTGATGAAATAAAATGATTTTTTTTATTTTTTATTTTATTGAACCTGTGGTGAAAGGGTCCTACACAAAGCCGTTCTTTCATCTGCTGCAAGCACAAACAAATGTCTCCTTTGTTCCCAAAAAGGAAAAAGAGGGGAGATAGCCACAACAAACAGGGTGACAGAGTGTGTGTACGCGCACAGAGAGAGGCAGCGAGAGAGAAGGAGAGAGAGCGATCAAAGCAGGGGCCATGTGTTAAAACTCTGAGTGGGAGGTGAAGCCTCACCTACCCACAATGCATTGCCTGACTCCTTCCACAGCCCACCGGGTTATGATGTTATGATGCTAGCGGCTCATCAGTCATCCGCAGCTATTCTCAGACAGTCTTAGAGTGAGACTCAGTGAGAAGCAGCAGTGCGTCTCTGATCTGTCACACACCACCCGACCTCCCACACCAACACAGTTCTACACATCCACACCGGTCCAGGCCACAGTCAGCAAAACGAGCACGTGTTGTATCTGTACAGTAGGAGACATGGGTGGAGTTGGATCAGAGCCAGGCTTCTGTGTGGTGTGATGGATGGAAACGTCTCTTTTCAACTCGGCATGAGAAGATCCAAACTGTCCATCTCCGCCCAGCTGATGTCGCGACCTCTACGCGCACACATGAAAAGCCGAGAAAGTCTGTGTGCTGCTTTGTGAGTGTCTTAAGGCGGTGTTTGTCTTTGGTAGGCTGCAGAAAACAAAGCCATTGATTTCTAATCCTAATCCCCTTCTCCTGCTTCTCACCTATTGATCATCCATCCATCCTTAATGAATAGGTGACGCGGAGGAATGGAAGGCTGATGAAGGACACAACTTTCTCTTTGCCTCCACCCAGCTCTTATTCCAATCTGTCTCTCTTGCTCGTGGGGCTTTTCTCTCCTTAGATCATTCTGCTGGAATGAAAAAATAAATGCAGCGCGGTGCTTTTGCGGAGGTTCATCAAACCTGGAGGCCCGCGGAGCTGCGAAGGTTCTGCTAAATATTGAAATTGAATGACAAGGATGAATGCACTAAATACAGAAGTGCGCACACACACGGTGAGAGTAGATGAAGTTTGACTCCAAACAGCAGTAATGGTGTTTTTCCTGTGTGCAGCTCTCACAGTCGACAGTGTTCTCTGATAATGGCTCCTCTCCCCCCACTGCTTTTAAACACAATCACAGCCTCATACATTTGATGTTAATGAAACGCTGGAGTAGATGAGTCCCTTAATGGCTCCATCACATGTTTGTGATTTAGCAGGTCTGTCGTCGTTCAGCAGTTTGGCCTGTGTTTGTCTGTCTGTTCATTCAGTAACTGCTTTGGTCCGTTGTCTCCTTCACCATTGGATGTTTAGTCTGTTGTTAAGGAGCTCTGTGACTGTGCCTCTGTCATTTTATGTCCATCAGTGTGAGACATTTACTTACCTTATTTTAAATGATTTGCTGACTTGAACAGGTTCAACCATTGTTGCTATCATTTAGCTTGCTTTTAGCTACCTTTAGTAGCTCAGATCAATGACCTTTAACTACATTTAACTTGAACTATTTTTTCAGCTATTTCTGTTTAGGGTGGCTAAACATCCACTGTTACCTTTATCTATTGCATGGTCATTTTTATCCTGTTGGTTAACCTTATTTATGTATAATTAAATTATTAATCAAATTTAAAGGGCACTTGTCTTTTTTTCTCTGAATAATGTGCAACATGACAAAGTAAAATGATTTGTGTAAAAAGGCGAACTCTGCCAAAACCTGCACTATTCATCTGTAAAACTGCACCGTCAATGATTATTCTGGTTTTTTCCCTGCTGTGACAAACCCACAGAGAATTATCCTTCAGCTCCATGAGGTAGAGCTCAATGCTGACTCTATGTGTGTGTGTGTGTTATATGTGTGTAAATGCTCTGTGTAACATTTATTAACCTAAAAGAAAATAATACAATTCAAAATAAACCTCCTGCAGGGGGTGCTGTGAATGCAGCTTTCGTGGCTTGGTCCATGAGCCGATGTTCACAGAGAAACTGTTTCCAAAAGAACGACTAAAAGATTAGCATTTGAGGATGTGAATTACACCTAAAACCTGGAGAAACGTGTACGCAAACACGTACACACACCCACAAAAACGTCAACTGTGTCCAGCTCTGATTGAACTGAGGTCAAACTACTCTACCGTGTGGCCAATTTTATATTGCAGTATTAAAATTGTTTTGTTTTTTTTAAAGGCATTATTTAGAGATTAACCTTAACCTCTTATGCTGAACTTTTACTTCACGAAAACTGGAAAACACAGAAATGACTCAGTCAAAATACTAGACACTGCACTCAAACACTGACACACATTCAAACAGCATCATCCCCACAGCTTCTTTGACACATCCTCTGTTTCCACATTTATTTAGGTCTGACAAAAACTCAGAGTGATGTCAGTGAGTCAGCCAGGGACACACCGGCATGTAGATGAATTTCACCACACTCTTCCTTCTAACCCTCATCTTTGTGTGTGTGTGTTATTGCTACTTTAATGAAAGACAACTGTTTGACTATGACGCCTGTGTTGACTTAACTTCCTGTGTTGACTTCGGGCTGTCGTGTGGGATGGAAATCATTGAACGTCGCCTGAAGTAAATTTTATTTCGGATCAGGCGAATTCTTTATCTTGATAGCTTCTTAATCCCCTTTAGTTTGCTGTTTAGACGTGAACTAAATCACATGATTTATCGGCTCAATACCAATCATTAAGCAAAACGTCACGTTTCTTGAAAATTAAACAGCCGTTTGGGATTTGACACACGTACGCAGCAACACACACTTTTTGTGGGGAGTGCCAGTAATGTCTGATGAGAAGGGTCTCTGTTCCAAATGGATTTAAATGTTATATAAGTGGAGGTTTAGTTTGTTCATCAAATTATCCGTAGAGAGTGTATAATTTTGTAATGAGACTAAACTCAAAAAACTTTAAACATTAATTTCTAAGCACCAGGATGAAATGATAAACGACCAAAACGTTTGCATTCTCGGTAAAAGAACGGCTCAATTTTAAACAAACATGTCAGAACAAGCAGCTCGGAGCAGCTTTAGAATACCTGCTGCTGATGCTGCTGATGCTGCTGATGCTGGGACGGTACTCCTGCTGTTTGTCCAGGGACTTGTAGGATTACGGCTAATCACAGAGGTATTCCCTTTGAGAGACCCTGGGTAAACAATCAATCTGATGTGGGAGGTCCACGAGCCACGCCCACCCACATCCCTTCATCGTCACCTCTGGGAGCAAATCACGTCAATCCTGGACTTAACTTAAGTTACCATAACACACGCCAAGGCAGGAGCCGATTGGCCGTATCCTGGAAAAGCTTCCTGAGGGAAATTAAAACAAGTCAGGAATAACCAAAAAAAAAAAGGAAACATTAAAAAGATATTGCTCTGCTTGCAAAACTGAGAAAATTTGATATTTGTGAATGTAATATGCAAAACTGGCACTGGGGAACAGTATCCCTAAGTGTACAATAATGGCTGCAGCATAACTCATTAATAGCAGGGCAGAGTGTGTCAGATGCTACCTGTCCAGCAGCAACAGCAGGAGAGAGTCAGAGAGAGAGAGAGAGAAACAGGACACGAATGAGTGGACAACATAATGAGAGGGACATGGCCTGCCAACTTGGGCAGCTGCTTCTCCACTGGGACAGAGTGGTGTGCATGTGTCAGAGAGAGAGAGTGTGTGTGTGTTTTGATTTATCTCCTCTAATTTTCCTCTCCTCTTCTGTCCACGTATTCCTCAGCAACAGCAGCATGCATCCTCAAACAGCCTTACACACACACACACACACAGACGCACAAACACAAGCTCCAAATCAGGGTGACCGTGGGAATGCCTGTGGCGTTATGTCAGTGAGTGAGGTGACGCCTTTAATCCTGAAACAAATCTGGACCCTGTGCTGTGCGCTCTGCCGCCGCTGCCCCCCCTTCACCTCCCCCCCCGTCTGAGAGTGTGTGTTTGATTGTGCGTGAGTGGCCGTGCTCGTGTGTAAAGCTCAATCTCACAGCCATTAGATTACGGCTGGCCGCGCAGCAAAGACACCCCGCTGCCACTCCCACATGGAAGAGCAGGCAGGATTAGCCAGCTCTACAGCCGCCCTTATCTGAGGACAAAAACCCACAATCACCTCCCACTGAGGAGCAGAGACAGAGTGATCTGATGTCATCTCCCCCTCCTCAACATAACAAGACAGCCTTTTAGCGTTAAATTACCACGGCGCGGTCTACCATCAGTCAGTGTGGAATCAACCCTGAACTGGATCTGTTTTTATCTAACTGATTGATCCTTTTGTCACAATCAGGAGCAGCTACAGGCGTAGATGTGTCGGAATGCAAATAAGGAAGGCTTTGTCTGCACGTCAAGACCTGGGAGTTACTATTTGCAAAAATGTTCTTTTTCAATGCAAACTTTTTCTTGACTCCAAATATCCTTACTAGTGCAACGCAACATGAGCTAAGAAGACACTGATCTCAAACTTTCTGTATAGATAATAAAGGCCATTGGATAGAGCACGTGATTTATTAGTTGATTAATTAAGATTAATTAGTAATTTCTTTGGAGATAACGTATGTATTTGTAAAATACATACGCATATGCAACACATATGGAAGCAAGTTCATCGAAGCCCAGAGTTCAATTTCAATTAGAAAAATAAAAACCAGGAAAACTAAGGAATTCTTTCCTTCCCCAACCCTGACACCCGGTCGATACTGCAGTAAACTACAATTCTTAACCAGGGAATGGTTAAAAACAAGGAGCAAAGCAGTGAATACTACACACCTCGAACGAGGAATTCAAACTTCAGTAGTTAAGTAGGGGTCACATAAAGCCACTTTAAGGGCCACATCGGACCCCTAGGCCAGACTTTGGACACACCTGCTGTGACAGGTGCTAGCCAGATTCCCAGAGTCAGTAGGAGACATTTTTGTGGACCACAGGGAAGAGTGATATAAAACGTTGTCCTCCATGAAACTTTCCTTCAGGCTGAGTTGAAGCACACAGTCTGACAAAGTCAATATTTACTATTTTCACAGCGGGTAATTTCCTGTAGGAACTGAAGTCTTTCAATTACGTTCTCAAGTCAGAAACAGCAGCATGTGACGCATCAGTGTGAGAGGCAACCTGCTAAGTGTGCTGTCAGTGTCTCATTATTTGATGGAAACTGCCTGTTTCACTGCCCCCAGTCAAGCACAGCCTCTCTGCGCCTCTGCCTTCTTTTTCAAAAGCATCTGCCTCATTAACCACCATCAGCATGTTGTTTGCTCTGTGTGATTTGGATGTGATGTGCAAGTGAGGAAGGGGCTCTGTGTGTGTATCTGTGTGTGCGTGTCCTTGTGCACGCGCGTGTGTACAGGAAGTTTTCATTACGCTGAAAAAAAAAAAAAAAAAAAACCCTGGAAAACATTTTTGCCAGTATCCAGATCGTGTTTTTCCTTGCTTCATATATCAAAGGCTTCCACCAATCAACTCCCTGGTGTTGTGCGTGTGTCTGTGTGTCTGTGTGTGTGTGTGTGAAAGTGTTTATATAATAGCATGCAGGGGGGGAGACAGATGTTTGCTGATTTGACAAGTTTGAGCTGCAAACTCAGCCTAATTTAGCAAACAAAAACCACAGAGTGCCACACAGACGGTCACAGTGACAGCCCCCTTAATATTGTGCCGTTTTAATTTCAGCTCTCTTCTCTCCTCTCCTGTGACAGTCCTCTCACGGAAACACAGAGCTAACGCTGTGCAACGACACAGGCGGCGCTCCCACTGGCTCTTCCTCCTGAGTTGTTTTCCTTGTTACAGGAAACTCTAAATAACTCTGGGCTTTCAGGGAGGACGTTCTCTTCTGCCAAAATTAGAAACAATAAACACGGTGTCACTTATTACGCCGTCTGAAATATTTTCTTTAAAGTAGAAAAGTGTTTATCGCCGTCTGAAATATTTTCTTTAAAGTAGGAAAGTGTTTATCCATGAGGAATAAATGATGACTATAATTTTGCAGGTGAAATTTCACCTTGTCTTTTCGGAGCACAGAGGTGAAAAGGTCACTGGGTCAACTCTGGTAAACAACTGTATCACAATCATAGTTATTGATCATTGAAAAAGAATATTTCTATCATTCATTTTTTTTCATCAGTTAATACACTTCAGGCGACCCAACGTGGTGTCTCAACCCTGAGACATTTTCAGTCTCCTTTCAATGCATCAAAGCTGATTCCTTCACTGATTTGTCTGTACTTTCCAGAGTATACTCCAGACACCTACTGACTAATGTTAAATATAAATATATCATTTTCTAGCATTAAAGCTCATAAACAACTGTAGAATCTGTAAGTGTCCCAGGCGACATTAAACAAACCCTACATAAACACATGAGTTTTGGCATTTATTGCAATGCAATATGGCAATCATTACAGTATTGTCTCAGTGTTTCTATTTTACAATTTACAAGCTAGTTAAAAAAAAGAATCCATAAATAAAGAAAATGCTTCATGTAGCTAACTCTTAGCACGGAACGAGAGCCATAAACGAGGACACGGATGACGACGTGCTAGTCTAGGTGTCTACACAACAGAAATAAGAACTCGGAAAAATAAAGAAAAATTATAATAATAATAAAAAACAAACCCAACACAGAAGTGAATCTGCGTTTGTTAGTTTTAGCCTCCAGTATGGAACTATTAAGAGCTCGTTCTGGTACATTCTCTGGCTCCTCCCACTCTCTCTGATCACTTTGCATATTCAGAATACACTAAGACAGCTGGCACCTTGACAAGGGAGTTACCATGTTGCGTCGAATCACATCAGATACACAAAACACACACACACATACACACACACACACTCTCTCTCAGGCAACCATACAAGCAAACAGTCGAAACATTTGTTCAAGTCAAGCCCAAAGCAGCAAAATGAAAAGGTCTGAAGCCATTCTGCTTATGCGTACCACGACCAAACAGCCTTCACAGAACAGATAATAAAGTCATGAAAAAAACAGAGCTGGCTAAGGGATGAGTCTTCAGTAGCTCCAAACTCTTGAAGTGTTCACGTCCACATCATGATTTTCATTTATAGTTGAAAGGTAATTCCACTGTAGGGAAGTTCACAAAAGTGCTGCCTTTCTTTTCCTCCTTCCTCCTCCTCCTCCTCCTCGTCTCAGTTAAATCCTGCCCTCGTCCTCCTGCGTTCCGTTCAGTCTCACTAAAGTGCATGAATGAGGTAAATGAAATTCTTCTCAAAGGTTTGTTTTGATCCGTCCTGCAGTTCAGACGGGAACCATCGTGTGCTGCATGTGTTGCATGTGACACAGCATTTCTTGTTGCGCACTAGCAATTATCAGGTCCTGGTGTGTCGGTGTTATGATTCCCAGTCTGTCCATCTCCCTGTGGGGGCAAACACGGAGGTATTTTAAGACACGTGAAGCGTAATCAAGTAGTATTTGGATGATGGAGTAGTGCAGTGTTTTTCAGGAATTCAAGTAGTAAAATTAAATACACACTACTGTGTGTACTTAGTAAAATAAAAAAACTGCATTCATTTAGTAAAACCAACTACGATCAGCTTAGGAATGTAACATCGCAGACATTATTAACCCAGGACCTTCTGAGTGTAACACCTACCTAAAATGATTCTTTTCAAAATGGAACTTTACTCCAACACGTCCAAGCTGTGTCTATGTTCATGCTTTAAAACATGGCTACATGCTCATATACATGGGTGAGTTGAAGGAAAGAACGGAAAGAAATTAAAAGTACTGAAGTAACAAAACAGTTTCTCTGCGTATCCTCCATTAAAGTCTTCCCACTTCTGCTGGCTGTGTCACCACTTCAGAATTCCAACTCGGTGCTTAATAAAGATGTAATGATAAGACTTGGAGACGTCTCCCAGGCATGTTAAGACATGTCTCCCAGGCGAGGGACACTTTTGGAAATTATAACATTAATCTAGAAGTCTTTCAGTGGCTCTCATATCTGAGAAAACAATAATTCTGTATATATATATATATAATTGTCCACCTCATAAGGAAGGAACATTGTCTAATGGTAGTTATATCGCACATTTTTTCTAATATAATTACATGTGAAAATGGTCTGCACTCATACTGTACAGCACTGTATCCCAAAGACTGGGTCGCGACACCCGTAAGAGATTTTTTGTTGGGTCGTTTCGCATTATGTTTCCCAGGCGTTTACGAGTAAAAAAAAGTTTGCCAAACACTTCTGTACAGTGCTTCTCTAGGGAAATATTAAGTAAAAAACAATTTGCAAAATAAAATGTTTTTTAGACATGTTTTTTTAAATCAATTATTAATACTTTCACTGAGGCCTGGTACCAAATGGTCCACTGACCATCACCGGCCCACGAACCAGGGGTTTGGAGACTCTCGTTTTGTGGGTTTTACCATGTACCTGGAGGTGGCGTATAACCTAGAAAGTCTGGAATCTAACCCACAACCATTTGGGTGTAAGACAAATACACAGCCTCCTGATCTCATGGCGTATTTCTGGTGCCTAAGTCGCGACATTATCTTGCAACAAAAAACAACCCCACATCAATTCACAACGTATAACATCGACTCAACCTCAGCAGGGTATTTATTTAGCATTCATGCTAACCCACAACAGCCCTAATTCTCTTGACGCCTCTTCTGAACTCATATCTCACCACTGACTCTTCTATCAATAGACACCACTCTCTACTAATTAAACTCCAACCATGATGTGGAGCTGCTCCTGTGGCTGCAGCTTGATGTAGTTTAGGCCTTTGTGATGTCGACCGCTGTTGTCTTACAGAGCTGTGATTTACACTTTTAAAAAAATGTGGTCACAAAGGGAAGTGATATTGACGGGAAACCACATCCAGTTCCACTGGAGAGTCCACGGAACTCCCAACAGTAAAATATATATGACAGAAAATCTGTTCTTTATCTATTATAGCACAGTGTATTACTTATTATAGTATTTAAAAATACACACATATTACTATTGTTTGACAAGTTCTGTTAGGAAACTGGACGTGAAAATTCACATGCAGTTTCCTAACAGAACTTTTTAAACTTGACCATGACTTGGATGACTGAGAATCTTCATAGACATATTACTATTATTTAATATTAATGATTTAATTAATTTAAATTGTATTTAATATTAAATTATATATTTATAGTAGATATTTTTTATTTTAATTTCTCAGGTTCTACCAGCACTCCCTTTGTGATCCACTTGTTTCTTTTTTTTTAACCACTGTGTCTCATGTTTACAACAGGAATTTCCTTGGCCAGGTTCTTGGTGTGACCATTTCCTGTCTGGACGCCACAGCTGCTGGTCGCTGCTTATCTGGGAAATGGATGTGACGTGTAAACATGCCAGAGTGAATCAATATTCATGTGGTTACACTTACTGGTGTGTGAGAGTCAGGAGGCTGTCGGGGCTGGTGTATCCTGCCGCCGCCAGCGTCTCCGTGTATCGCTCCATGCCGACGGACTGCAGCCACACGCACACCGACCACTGCGGCACACACACCTCAGGCACGACGGACACGCACACCTCTGAACTTATCCCTGACTCCATCATGGTGGACGTAGGTCTGAATACGCGGGGCGGGAGAGAGATACTGTACGTCAGAAACACAGGAAGACTACAGCAGGGTTGTGCTTGTTATCAGGGTTCACACTGAGGTCCTGACCTTTCCCCTCCTGTCCGACGCAGGGTCCCAGGGTTTCTGATGAGTTTATCCAGCATGTTGAGAATCTGACTGAAGGTCGGTCTCTCCGCTCGCTCTCTTTCCCAGCAGTCCAGCATGAGCTGGTGCAGCACCACAGGACAGTCCATGGGAGCAGGAAGACGGTAGCCTTCATCTATCGCTTTGATCACCTACAACACATGGACACAGTTGAAGGTTTGAAATCCAGATGCAGAAACCTGGACGGTCTGAGGAGAAAGTACAGCCAAAATGATCAGATCACAGAAAAAAAAGAATCTAATAATCTAATTAGGTGGCACAGAGTCCTGTCACCCAGTCGCCATACTATTTGTAGTCCAGATTAAATTAGATTAGATTGAACTTTGTTGATCACACACGTGGAAAATTGTTGAGTGACAGAAAACAGACTTCTGTACATTAATACAGGGCACCTCTGCAGAATTTTAGCCTCTGTTGTTATTTATCATCTCTCAGTAATGATTCACACACACACACACACACACCTCTCTCTTTAGTTTAAAAATTGGTTTCAGACGTCAATCAGAACGGGAAATTTAATTTCCAGATGCAGAAAAGGCTGCTGGGAAGTATCTGGTTCGATGCCAGTAAAGTGAAGTGTGTCTCCTTCAGAGGCAGACGATAGGCTGCGTATGAAAGTGGACCGAGTCATCATCTCTAACTGGATCACACGTCCAGGAGGATCTATCGACTGTAGTGAAAAGGACTCGACCCCAGTCCTCTGGTTTAGGCATGTTAGAAACACGCTAAAGTACAGAAAATTAATTAATAATTAATTAAAAATAATTTCACTCCAGGTGATATATTTACATCCATCACTGCTGTTTTTAGTCAACCTGATCTTAACAAAAATGATTTTTGTCTTAAAACCATCTGGTGGCTAACGACGAACGCAGCAGAGCTTTCTTTTCCTCTTACAGTCGGACAATAAATCATCTACTGTTTACATATGAAATAATGAAATTTAGGTGGCACATTAATCAAGCTGCAAATTCAAACACACAACTGATGCAAAACAAATGACATGAAGTCAGAAAATGAGGATTAATTCAGCCGTAGCAGCTCCTCCACTTCATGTTTCTTATTCATCGTGCGGTGGCACAACTTATACAAGAGGAGTGAGTCTTAAAATGAGGATTAAAGATGCTTTATTTGTGAGTTAATTCAATACCCAGGAGCTGCCACTGAGAGAACGGAGAGTTTTCTACCAATTTGTGGGAAAAGCGTTGGATAAATTATCTCCAGGGCCTTTAATTAGGAGAAGTTCTCAGAGACGAGTCACAGAGATGAAATCAATTACGTTTCCAAATTTCCATATGTCTCTTTGACCTCCTCCACTTAATAAGCTTTGATGGATAAGTCATTGCAAATATGCTGTGAAACTGCTTTTTTTGCCTTAAATCCCAGAAACTCTAATTCACTTCTGAGTTTATAAAGCTGCTGCACACGGCCCAGAGATAACAGCAAGAAGCAATTTAGTGTTATCGTTATTGAGCTATTTATACTCGGCAAACTAAACGTGTATGAAAATGATTTTTTTTTTCTTGGCCAATTTTAAAGACAAAATTTACATTGAATAAATTGTGCCGAGGTCAAAAGCTCTGGGTCAGACAACAGGAGAGAGGACGAATTTCTTCTTGACATATTTTGGAAAAAAAAAAAAAAATCAGAATTGTGTCTGAATCTTACTCTATCTTTTTCAGTCAGTGATAGATGACACAGAATATTTTGTGATGTTGGCAAATTAAAAAAAAATGCTACTCACATCCTGATTGTTCATATCCCAGTAGGGTCTCTCTCCATATGAAACCACCTCCCACATGACGATTCCGTAGCTCCACACGTCACTGGCTGTGGTGAACTTCCTGTACGCGATGGCCTCTGGGGCCGTCCATCTGATGGGGATCTTCCCTCCAGGCGACAGGTAAGTCCCCGTGGCCTCCTGTTGGAGCAGCACACGTCACATGGTCAGAGTGAAAAAAAAACCCACATCGTCAAAATGAAACAGTAAACATCTGGAAGCAAAGGCGCACCCTGGTGGTGTAGGCGGCTTCAGGGTCGTCCTCCAGAACCCGACTCAGGCCAAAGTCCGACACCTTACACACAAGGTTGCTGTTGACCAGGATGTTGCGAGCTGCCAGATCCCTGTGAACGTAGCTCATGTCTGACAGATACTTCATCCCTGAGGCGATGCCACGCAGCATGCCCACCAGCTGGATCACGGTGAACTGGCCGTCGTGTTTCTGAGAGTAGAAATAGAGAGAAAAAAAACAGAACGGGAAATTAATTTGACCTGCAAATTGCAATAATTTGTACCGTTGGAAAAGGTAATGAAAACACAAAACACTTTGTTAAACCATCACAGCAGGTTAGCAGGTCACTGGTTTGAACACTAATGTGGTATTACAGGAGCATTGACCAAGGAGTTGGTCTTCTGAGGATTTTTACATCATCATCGTCAGCTCAGATTGGCTGGAAAATAATTCCATTTACTCAAAGTAAATAAACTAGCAACATTTCGTAAATGTGATTCTTTTTAAAGCTGCTGCACAACACAGCTAAACAGTTTGTACATACGCGAAGAAAAGCATCCAGAGATCCATTTTCCATGTACTCTGTGACGATCATCAGTGGTTTACCTGCACAGATGGAAGGAAAAATTTGAAAGTTTAATTTGAAAAAAAAAAAAAAAACCTCACACATCAAAACAATCCAAACTCACATCTGGTGACCACGCCCTCCAGCCTGATGATGTTGGGATGATCGAACTGTCCCATGATGGAGGCCTCGGACAGGAAGTCCCGCCTCTGTTTGTCAGAATAACCCGCCTTCAGACTCTTGATGGCCACGTAGATCTCCCTCTTCCCGTGGACACGCAGTCGGCCGCTGCACACCTCCCCAAACTCTCCTACACGCACGCAGCGAACAGCAGCGTCAGCGCCAAGTAAACATGTGTGTGTGGGTTTGAGTTTTCATGTGTGTGTCTGCCAGGCTTACCCATGCCAATAACTCTCTCGATGTGAATACTGCTAGCGTCAATTTCCTTGGCAAAGTCATGGATGGCCTGATCGGGGTCTTCGTAAGTGAAGGGATCCACGTAGATTTTGACCCCTGCCATGGAGGAGAGGGAGTGAAGGATGTCAAGGAAGTGTGAGGAGGCGGGTGAGAAACAGGAGGTGTGTGTAACGTCTTAACACAGTACGTGAGATGTAGATGAAAAACAGAGCAGCTGTCACGTGTGCACACACAGTTTGTTTGTTTCTGTTTCTGTTTACCTGGGTTGAGGTGTTTCTCCTCCTCAGAGTCCTGCTTTGTTTTACTGTACTTGCTCCTCCTATTAAAAAAAGATAGAGATGTAGTAACACATGAGCGCCTCCAGGATTACTCCTCTTCCGTTGTCACCGGCGTCCGGCGAGATTTCAGAGTTTAGCTCAGTGAAAGCAGCCTCAGTGGGAACAGAGAACAACGGGCAGCAGAGGAAAGACGCGAGCAGATGAAAGCGTTTAAAGGGGGGAGAGTGGTGGGGAGGGGGGAGGAGGTGGAGGAGGGGGGGGGGCGCCTCAGGTAGCACAAGATAAAAGGTGTTTTCCATTAAACAAAGAAACTGTCAAAAACACCTTTGTGTGTGTGACGCTGGTGTGTATGTGAGCACTCTGCAGAGGCTGTGTGTGTGTGTGTGTGTACATCAGCAACACACACACACACACACACAAGCTGTGCTGCAGAAGAGACAGTAATGACAAGGCAGGGACAAAGGGATTATCACTGTCTCTGCTCTAATCCCCTTTAAAAGCTTCAGGTAACACACACACACACATTATTTAGCTGTTGCCGTGTATTGTGGCCGTTTGGGTCTGAAGCCCTTGTTAGGGCGGAGCGGGTGCAGCGGTGCTGGACATGCACTCAAATCCATCGGTCTGCAGCGCTTTTCATTTTCATAAAAAATGTCGTCAAATGGTAAATGAAATGGTCGGGTAACGTCTGTAACTAGATTCTTTAAGGACGTTACAGCTGTCAATCACATGCTCTTCTTTTGAATGATGTCGTGTGTGAGAGAGACTAAAAGCTCGTTCTCTAAAACGGCTCCATCAGCAACACTTCACACCTCACTTCACACCTCACTTCCATGGAGTTACTTCCACAAACAACGGGAGCTCTTCCCAATTTTTTCACAGCTTCACTAATTGGCTGCACCCATGTTTGTACCATTGTATGGAGTCTAAAACACAGCCCGTGTGTGTGTGTGTGTGTGTGTGTGTGTGTGTGTGTGTGTGTTAGCCTTACCGACGACTAATGATGAAGACAGCTGCAGATATAAGCAGTAGAACTCCAACCCCGCTGACAGACAGCAGAAGGAAGGCAGAGTTGACTCCTTCTCCAATCAGAGGGAAGGGATCTGCGGGGGGGGGGGGGGGGGAGGAGACAGGGTCCGCCAACCAGAGAGTTAGAACCATCACCTATAATACTTTAGTGCTATAAAACCGTCGGGACGTTAACGTCTGAGTACCTGAATTGGTGGAGAACTCAAACGGAACGCTAAACTCTCCGTATCCGGCAGCCGTGCGAGCGCGCACATGAAACACGTACACGGTGAGAGGGTTGAGACCTGTGACATCCACGCTGCGAGAGAAGGTCCTCATTATGCGGTAGGAGCGCTCTCTCTGTTCCTGATTAGAGACAGACAGACAAAAAAAGACGGGGTCTCTTTCCGGGGCCTGACTGGAAATCTGTGGTCGCCATCAGCAGCGGACGAACAGCGAGCTCACGTACTGACATCCCAGACAGGATTTAAACCGCCAGCACCTCACCTTTTGGTAGAACTTGACCTCGTACTCCAAGATGACCCCGTTAGGTCTGTCTGGCTGTTGCCATGACAACACCATACTGTGTCTGGTGACTTCTGTGACTTGGATGGATGATACAGGAGAGGGCGCTGAGAGAGAGGAAAACAAACAAGAGGTTATCAGGACACGAGGACGCTGATGTTGATGATGTCAGACCAAAACAATCAGTGATCCACTCCTGTCCACTGACTGCCTTCAGAAAAATAAAAGACAAGTCTTTTTTATCATATCTCAATCATTTTAATATAAAATGAATGAAGTACTCAGTAGGTAATATAAATGTTATCCACCGACGAAGATTTCAGCTCTTCCAGGGAACAGTGCTAACTAGCTGTAGCTACATGTTTCTTCCAGTACATGGGTTTGAATAATATCATACCATAAATTACAGCAATTGGTAAAGAAATGACAAGGTGGAGTTTAAAGAGACATCCTTAGACATAACTTAGTACAGAGATACCCAACGCCTGGTTCGTGGGTCGGTAATGGTCCGTACCCAGCCACAGTGGGACACAGTAAAAACAGGTACTTTATTTTTACTTATTTACTTAATTTAAAGATAATCTGGCAACATTTAAAAATAATTTCTCTGAGACTGCAATTCTGACAGAAGTTTAAAATGTGTTTTATTTTGAAAATGTAATGATCTTTAATGATTACTCAACAACTGATCCTCAGTAACGGTCAGTACCCACCAACAGGTCTGTGGTACAAAAAAGGTGGAGGACCGCTGCCCCAGTACACATGACATCAACAATGCTCTTAGGTGTAATATAGCTATAGCTAAGTGTGGCTCCTCCTGTTTGTCAACAAGTCCATCAACCCTGCACCTGAGAACTGACCTACATTTCATTCCTGTCCGTTTCACAGCAACAAGGCCCCTCTCTCTCTCTCTGTCTCTGTCTCTCTCTGTCTGTCTCTCTGTCTCTCTCTCCTCTTACATGCCTCATTGTTCATACCTCTATGGTGTTTGTCCCTCTTTGTGGTTGTTCATATGACACCGGACCATATGGTGACACAGGTTGGACGTGACACGTCCCAGACATTCTTTATGCACCATGCTAAGTTATTTCCCGAGAGGGAACCTGGAACCGAGCAGGTGTGCTCCTTTTCTACACGCCACTGTGGACTGCCTCGCATCGGCCACGCAAGCGGTAACGCACACTCCAGAAAGTGTGATGAAACGCCGCACACCAGCTGACAAACCTCTGCGACTAAAATGTAACACGCCATTTTGGAACTGTTTCCCAGTCAAGAGCCGATAGTTGGGAAATGAACCACCGAGACGCACAGTGGGGCAGTGATGTGTCTGTCTGACTGCGTCGGGTCGTCTCTCATTGTCTCTACTTCCCCTCCGACCGGCTTTGTACGTTTGTATTTAAGTCAGTGATTTACATTTGCACAAGTATTTTCTGACACCCTCTGGGGAACATTCCTACAATTAAGTGTGTGGATGTTGGGTGTAGGAGGACAGAGTAATCACTGTGGCAGCTATGACAGTGAGAGTAAAAGAACACTTTTCCAGTTGAGAGAGCAGGGAAAGTGTCTTAAAGCTGCGTTACATGCGCTCATCTTGTTACTGGAGAAGCTGCCGTCTCTGCCTCTGTGCTCAACATGTCCTTGAGTGTTTTTTGCTCAACATGGGAACTCTTCATTACAGCGAGGAGTGTAATGTAGTCCAGAAACATGGGAGGGAACTCTGAAACACACCTTTGTTTTTTAACACACAGCTGCTTTACACAGAAAGTTAGGTCCACTTTGCTTCTGAGAAAGTTCCTGAGCTGACATTTAAATTAGTTCTCGAGGTATTTTGCAGGCTTTTCCTCTCAGCGTCACAGTGACATATGCCAGACTGAGACACGACAACGATTTGATTGGGAGAAAGTGAGTCACCTACCTGTACTGAGGTACAGTTTGTGACAACTATAAACAAAGTTCTCCACAGAAGGTAATTGATCAAAAAAAATAATTCAACACAAAAAACAAAACAAAGGCCAGCATTATATTCTTGTGATAGTATGAGTGATGGTGAGTATGTGCCAGCATGACGACTGTGGGGGTGTCTTCACTGCTGAATCATTGTTCAGTGTGTATTTCTTTCCTGCTTTTGTGTTGAGCTAAAGGTCATGTTTTTGGACTGGAGCACGAGGAGTGAAAATTAAAGATATAGGAAAGAATGTTGCAGTATCTGAAAATGACACGTGGAAGTTTGGACGACAATTGGACTGTACAAGTAGAAGTCATGCTAACATGCTATTAGCTTTGCATTGTATAGACACAATTAGATGAAAAGACACAACGTAATACGTGTTCATTATGGGTGGTACGAGCTAACATCTGTCCATGGGGCACAGAATTCCAGACAGCGCCCCGTGTATTTGTACTTGATTATTGTATGTTTTAGCCTAAACAAAGAATTATTCTAAATAATATATGAAATAAATTAACTTTCCATAACACAACGCAACATAGTATGTCAAAAATCACGGCCCTAGCTACAACTGACCTTGACGTTCGTGTGCTAAAGGATTTCTTTTGTGCTTTGAAACCAAAAAAAAAAATCACCGATCATTCACCTTCAAATCTGCAAAGCTGTTCTTCAGCACAGAAGTGTCAAAGTAGGCACTATAGGTCTGGTGCACATACCACACAGAACCTGATCTGTATAGTAATGTTTTTAACATCCCTCCAGAGGCCTCCAGTCCCCTGTGGACCCAAATGCACTGAACAGCAAAGTGTATTGTGCTGAGTGCGACCGGCTTTTGTAATCCTATTTTTTGTAACTACAACAATCTGACAAGTACATTTCCTGTATCTCACTCTCTCAGTGCAGTACGTGTGCAGACGCAGTCACTCCTCACCTGCTTGGTTGGTGGTAACAGTGACAGATGCACTCTGGGCTGCCCCTGCACCGCTGGCCTGGGAGACCCCGTTGCGTGAATGGACAATGAAGGTGTAGTGAGTGTGGGCCCTCAGCTCACTCACCACCACCCTGGTGGACTTCAGGCCAGTCTGACCGGGAGAGAAAAACACATCTGGGCCACAGGGCAGGCAGGTCTGAGACCTCGAGCCAGAGCCAAGTCCTGAGTACTCTCCCGGCACTGGTCTACTCTGGAAGACCCCTCTCCCGGGCTGGATTTCCGACGTTACAATCCCTTGGTCCGACTGCATCCCCAAACCATTGTGCCGAACTTCAGGCTGAGTGATGCTGCGGTTCCTGGGGAGGACTCTACCGCCGGTCTGACTGTGGCTCGCTGTCTGACAGATGAGACACTCCAGGCTATAGCTAGTGTCACTTCTCCCCCCCAGCCGTCGAGGGGGGGCCCACTCCAAGACCACTGAGGTTTCATTCACGACTGAGATGAGTTGCTGTGGGGCCGAGGGTGGCTCTGGGGAAGACAACCAAAAAAAAAAAGTCACACCACAACTTACGCGGACTGCTGCAAATCTGCAAACTCGTGACAACATATACGGGGAAAAGATGAAATGAACATAAGTTTGGAGAGGGTGTAATATTTCCTGACACAGGCTGATAAGTAGACATCTGGCATCAGACAGAAACCATACTGTACAGTGGTGTTTTTGATGGGCTGGATGTTCCTCTGTGGCATCTGTGTGTGTGTGCGTGCGTGTTAATTTTTCCCAGGAGAAAGAAACCATGTGCTGTATATAGGCATAATTAAGTTTATGACACATAGACCATGGTCTCTGACTCTGTACCAGAAAAACCTCCACAGACGGAGGGAGAGGGAGAGGGAGAGGGAGAGGAAGAGGGAGAGGGAGACGGAAAGGGAGAGGGAGAGGAAGAGGGAGAGGGAGAGGGAGAGAGAGAGGGAGAGGGAGAGGGAGAGGGAGAGGAGTTTTTCAGTTATCATTCCCAGACAGGATGGAGATGGTGCCTTAGTCATAAGTAATAGGATCATGAAACAGGGCTTGTCATTCAGACAGGTTTGCTTCTCCTTCTGTTTGGTATTGGATTAAGTGGTGGGACAACAACAGCCGTCCTTCAGCCTGCTAACTGGTTGTAGTAAAAACACATCGTCTGTGTTTTGTCGTGCATTGTCTCAGTAGACTGTGTTAGTGAGTGTCCTTACGGGTGCAGGACATGGACGGAGGGTCACTGCTGGCACGGTAGAATCCGGTGTTGCAGTCACAGACCGTTGCCCCTTCTCTGAGCGAGTGGCTGTGCGGGGGACACTTAAAGCACTCAGGGTCCGAGGACCTGGCCTTGTAGAAACCAGGAGGACAGGCTGCACAGAGACAGGAGTTTGATGTTACATCACAGAAAGAGAAGTCTGCAACGTGAAAATCAAATGTACTGACGTTGATTTAATCTTGGATCAGAGAGGACGTTGTAAAACCACTTCTAATCAAATTACCTGTTTGAAATTTTTGTGGTAACACACACGTCATTACAAGTGAGAAGACAAGAAAACCACAAAGCTCTTAAATAGTGACATGAACCTTTTTGTTTTTCATCCTGACAACTGATCTCTAAACACTTTGAAGATGGATGAAGGACTTCAACAAAACCTGCAACGTTTGGTTTGGGCTGACGCCACTGAACCACGGTGAATAATTAGAGTCAGTGTTGATTCACTCTCCAGCACGTTGGTCTGAAAGATGCAGAAAACTGCACAACATTTTAATTGGTGTGTCTTAAATCTCTATTCCTGAAAGGTTTTGGTTTGATGGGAACATGAGAGAGGTTCACTGTACGGTCACAGAGGAGCTGTCCAACCACAAACCACGGCTACACAGCTGACAGACAGAGAAGTTCAACCAAAACAATCAGTGGATTAAAGAATCACAGTTGATAAGTAAAACTAAAAATACATGTTTTTCCATAGCCAAACCCCTGTTTGTGGTGATTTACCAGGTGAGCTAATGTTTTATAAGGAGACAAATAAACTGAATTCATTCATTCATGCACTTTGACCAAATGCCAGTGGTCAGAATGTGTGTTTCAGCTGAAGGCCAGCCCTGTGATAATTACAGTTCACAGGAAGTACGTTTCAGTGCATCCAACGCCAACGTTGGTCAACTGGCCTGTGACCCCTGATGTCACCTTTGAGTTCTGCATTGATTCCAGAGACAGGCCAGTGGGTCGGTTAATGAAGGCATGTACAGACACACAGGTCTGTGTGCAGACAGGAAGTGAAGGTGGATGCTGGTCTAAAGAGTGAAACAGATATGGCTTTAGGAGCACGAGCAAAAAAAAAAAAAAAAAAAAAAAATCTCACATAAAAGAAAACGTGATGATTTGCTACAACTATCACACACACACTGACACACACACACACACAAATCAGGATCTCCAGATGAAAACCACACAGCACTTGGCAGCCCCCACAAATATAAGTGACATTTATTTATAAGAACGAGGAGAAACAGCAGCAAAGAGAGGGTGAGGCAGAGACGGCTGGGGGAGGAAACGGGAGGCAAAATTGTCTCTCTGTATACCAAGGAGTTTGTGCATTGACAGAGCAACAATACGATAAATGAGTGCATAATTATACCGCTTGACATCCACTGGTGCAGCAGAAGGAGACGGCAGAGCGCGGCTGCTCAGCGCCAGCTCCACTCGCTTTAATGTCAGGAGGAAATCCTTCGTTTGTTTCGACGGCAATCATTCTTTTCAACACCTTTTTTCATCATCACACCCTATTCATCCTCCTTTCACCGTCCCAGCATCTCTGCTGGCTCCCTCCTCTTTTCTCCAACCCTTTTTTTACATTTCCAAGGGAGATGAAGACATCCCAGAGGGAGTGGATTGGAATGTTGGAATGGTGTGTGTGTGTGTGTGTGTGTGTCACTGTGTGTCAGTATGCTTTATGATACTCTCATCAGTAGATGAGAGGCAGAGAGGAAGTCTCCTCTGTAATCTTCTCGCAGCGACCATCCTGTCCCATCTGTGTGAGCCTTCGTACGTTTGTTCTTTCACACACTCACTTGTCCGCTCTTTCACATTTGTCACAACCATCATCTGCTCACTCTGGCACTTCCTGCTCGACCTCCACTTAAACTGTGCCTCCCCATGTCACTCTTTATGTCAACAAACGGAGAAGACTCAGTAGCTGGCTAACACTGTTTACGGCTTTAGACATGACGTGACATCACTGCCCCCCCGCCCCCCAGTTTGACACCTGTGAATTTGGAAAGACAAGCATGAGGTAATTATGGCTTCAAGTGATGGATGTCAAGTCCTGAGGTTGGGGAAATGTAAATATACAAAAAGATTTTTTTAAATGATTCATTAAATGCAGAAAATATAGGAAAATGTCATTTTTTTCAAATTATTTGGAGACCAGAAAATATCCCACCTCAATTTACCCCTTACAATTTACACCTAAAAAAGAAAGAATATCTTCATCTTATTTAGATAATTGTAACATTTTTTTAGATGAACTAATAAAAAGCAATAGAAAGGTTTTATGTCTAAGTATTAGCAAAAAATGATAATATAATTCACAATAAAATTTTGTTTAAAAAAAAAACAAAAAAAAAATCACAGAGGTCAGCCCCTACTGCCTTGGAGTGGTACTACAACTAAAAACAGCTTTGAAAATATAATTCCATCCCTATGAAGACCATAAAGTATTGTATTATGTTTTAATTCATGAAATCAAAGACCATATAAGTCAGTTATCACAATAAGACAATTAGTGACTTATTAATGGACTGGATTTGTGTCACTGGTGAGGAGCTTCTACTTAATAGTTCATAAACAATGGTTTCTTTGTGGAAACAACTCCATCTCCTAAGAACACATGAAGAGGTGGCTTCACAGAAGAGGATTGTAGAGTCTGAACAGCAGGTATCTGAAGGTGGCTCAGCCCCGTGTGCACTGACAGCGCTGTGATGTGGGGTTCTGTGTGTGTGTGTGTGTGTGTGTGTGTGTGTGTGCCGGGGGAAAACCTCAGGAGGAAACCAGTGGGTTAGTCAGCCGTGGGTGAGAAAGAGGGGAAAGAATTTGACCTGTTGAGGATTTAGAGGTTGATTACAGGGCTCAAGAAGCCCTGTTGAGGGGAGAGTGGGGGAGTGGAGGGAGGTGGGAGTCCAGTGCCTTTGTCTCTGTCCCACTCAATTCACTATCCCTGTCTGTAGCACGGCTGACAGAATGAAGAAGGAAAGGAAGAAAGAAAGAAGTCATAAACATCCTTCAATGCCCTCTTATGTCTCTGTTCTCTGAGGACNTGGGCAGTGCTGCTGACCTGGAGTAAGGCTGCCATTAACCCAACATTAACCCTACGCTAGGCAGAGATGTGCAAGAGCCTGAGCTTGACCAATAACCTGAAAGGGATATGGAACCAAATACAATCACACACACGCACACACACACACACACACACACGCACTGATTATTGGCTGATTATTGACTCTCCTCTTCATGATACCAAACAGTGGGACAGAGAGGGAGAGGAATTACATCACTTTACTTTCTAAATATCGTATTGATTTTCTGTCAAACTCAAACTCTGCAGCAGAGACACATAACAGAGCAGGACCTTCTGTTTGCCTTATACAGTTAAGGCAGATGTTTTTATGCAACAGTTTTAAATGTTTTTTTTCTTCTTCTTTTTTTCCAAAATAAAGCCCAAGTGAATATGTTCATCACAGAAACACGGCGGGTTTTAATGGAAACAACAGCTGCTCCGAGCTCGTTCAGTTTGGATGACAATAAATACGTACAGTCGACGAGTACGCTGTAATCATCTGTTTGACTGTTTAACAGTAAGAGACTCGACGCAAAAAGGAGAACGACGGAAAAGGTTGGCTGGAAAAGACGGAGCGAGAGAAAGACTGATTTAGCAGGAGAGATAAGGAGGTGACAGGAAAAGAAAGACGGAGGAGTCAGACGGACGGACGCAGAGCGACAGAAGAGAAGATGCCCTTTGATTAATATCAGCACCGTCATCATTTGCATCTGTGCTCCTTCAATACCTGAAATACTAACGTGTCTCAACTGTAAATCCAAGAGCCTGTTAGGACACACGTGTGTGTGTGTGTGTGTGTGTTCCTGCTCCTGGAGGTACGTCCGTGTGTGCATTCTCCTTGACCTCGTGTTATCTGTCATCATCTCTTGTTGCCTCTCAGCAGAGGGGTGTGGATGGGAGGAAGTTCCCGCTATCTGCCCCGTTCCGACAGCCGTCACTGTGATGGATGGAGGGAGGCCCAGATTGACGGACGGATGGCTGCATTGATAGACTGTCACACTGGAAGGCGGGGACACTGTTAATCACAGGGGTCATGCCCTGTTAATTAAAACCCACACAGATGCAGGATAGCAGACACGTTTCTTATCTGTTCTGACTGTGTGCTTTCATACAGTCAAAGAATTTCCTGCCTCCCAGGCAGAGATCAAATCCACGCTCGTGATTAGCCGGGTGCCAGAATCATCCCTTATCTTCCATCTCTTCAGTTTGCATTTTAAAACCGGAGGAATGTGCCGAGTGGAAGCTACGACTTTAAATTTAAATGCTCACAAAACTGTTGGATTGTATGACTGTGTGTGAGTGTGTGTGTGTGTGTCTGCCTAAAGCCAACAGTGCAGTCATTAGCATTTGAAAGAGCCTTTACAACAATGAGTCTCCTCCCCATCACACTCAGTTTACCCCCGTCACCAGCAGCAGCAGCAGCAGCAGCAGCAGCAGCAGCAGCAGCAGCAGCAGCAGCAGTAGAACCCCCATTTTGACTGAGGAGAAGAGATGATGAAGAAGAAAATGAACAGAGAATGAGAGGAAGGCAGAGTGACAGGGAGGTAAAGGCTGAAGCCGGTGCCAAAACCAGGGAGCTGCACACGGCACCGTGTTCCAGCTGGCACCGACATCTACATTCAGAAAAAACCTGAAGAAGAAGAAGAAGAACGACCAAGGAGAAGGAGACACAATAGAACAGAGAGAGAGAGAGAGAGAGAGAGAGAGACAGAGAGAGACTGTTGTAATATTGGAATGCTAACCATTCCCCCCACCTGAGTTTGGCTTGTTCTAAACAATCACTTGTGCCATTCCGATGTCTTTGGCTGCATCATCACCTACTACACACACACACACACACACACACTCACTTGAATCTGTGTGTGTGTGTGTGTGTGTGTCCCTCCACTCTCTAGGCATTACCGGGCAACACTCCAAATTGCGAGTATATGGGTGGGAAGGCTTTGTTAGGGATAAAATTGGAGATACAGCACACATGCACACACACACTCATGTAAACACACACACACACACACAAAATTAGCAATCCAACATGTACGGAGTCCAGAAATGCGATGCAATAATTAGAGGAGCTGAATAGAGCGATTACGGACTCTTTCTGTCATCCCTCTCTCTGTGCCTCTCCTTTCTTCTGCCTTTCTTCTCTCCCTCTTTTCATCTGTTTGGATGCCTTCTGTTTTTTCTGCTGCTGCTGCTGCTGAGGCACCGCAGGTGTGTTGGAAAGAGTCATAACCGTGAAATCTCTCTGGATATCTGGACAAACACGCGCACACATGCACAGAGGAACATTCCTTTCCTTTCATGAGCAAAAACAGAGGTGAGAGAAAGAGAGAGAAGGAGAGAGGCCTGTGTGGAGACAGAGACAAAAAGGAGCAGGCTCCTCTCCCTCACTCCTCTTCCCCAACTGTTCACATTTCAGATTCTCTCTGTTCTTCCTTCACTCGCCTCTTGTCTCCTCGCCCTCGTTTCCGATCCTCCCAGACGGATCGCAGCTGTCAAACTCTTGACGTCTTCATCTGACTCGGTCATGACCCTGCACTTAGTAGCACAACCCTGACTCCCACCGTGTGTGTATGGCTGTCAATCACCGTCTTGACGTCTTCATCGGCCTCAGTCACGACCTCGGTCTTAACCAGGGGTGAGAAAAAAAAGAGGGGGAGTGCCCTGTCTCTTGTGTTTCCGCAGTCGTCTCCTTTGCAGCCGATGACGGACCCCCAGTAGGGGAGGGCTGGCCCCGGCATTGATGCCTTCTGCTGTCAGTGGCCTTCTTTCAATCCCTCCTCTCGCTCCATTCAAGGGCTAATCCCTTCTTCCTCTTCAAAGTGTCTCCTCTCTTCCTCTCCTGCCTCATTACTCCTGTGTCGACACCCAAAATGAAATTCTCACATTTTTGCTGCTTTTGCAAAGTCGACAAAGTCCGCCTTTCATTCATTTCTATAAAAGTTCAACCGAAAAACAGCATTTCTAACGTCTGGTGGTGCATTAAAGTGTTTTATGAAATTCAAAATAAATCTATAAGACAAGTCTTATGTAAAAACCTTGTCGTTTTTGCTTTAAAAGTCTACATTTCTTTGGGTTTAGTGTTGAAATAAGGTTGGGTGACTGTATTTGATGAAAAGGTTTGAGACGTCTTTCATGTGGGAACTTTCATCTGCCAACGTTAACCAGAATCCTAGGACAATACGATATCGCAAACACATCAACTGTGACTGTCAAAAACGTGGTCATCAATCTGTATTTCACAAAGCTCAATTATTTAAAATAGTTTTCTTCAGGAAGCAACTTTTTTTATTTTTTTTATCATTACAGCTGCCAATGACAGGTGTATTTGCCTGAGACGCGTCGGTCTGTCCGCACAATATATCTGTGAGACTGAATAGGTGACGACACATGAGGCTCTGTGGTGAAGAGGCCTTTTGACCCCGTTGATGGGAGACTAGACGGGACATTTAAATCCATCTCCAAATCTATCTTCATCCAGCTCTGCTCTTCCTTCTCTGTCTCTGTCTCTCTTCAAATTCCAGACTAAAAAGTGGCAGCAGCAGCAGCAGCATCGGGGCGGCCCTCCAATACTGCAGGGTCAGAGTTTTCGCTGAGCAGCATTCAGTATTCATTCAGACTTTGATAGATTTCCACTACGGCAGCTGAGCCCGGCCAACAAGCTGACAGGCAGTGAGTGTGTGGAGATGGAGGAGAGAGCAGCACGTAGATAGATGGCACTCCACATCTGCTGGAGGTTCTACACAGTCAAGGGTCTCTCCTAAATCTCTAACGTTGAGGAGGAACATCTTTTAGCCCCTGGGGACCACCCCCGTAAAAACCTCCTCCTCTTTTCAGCGCAGGAACAAACGGGGCAAACGGGGTGAAAGTATTTCGAGGAACGTTTGTCACGTCTAGAAATCTGGCCACTCTGTCCGCGCTGCAACGTCAGAAAAGAACTTTTCTTCCTTTATTGGAGCCAACTGGCAACAACTGCACGCCTCTTTTTATTTCTATCTCCCTTTGCATCTCTTCTTTTCTCTTTGAGTTATGGCTCTGTTTGTTATTCAATTAGCCCTTTGGGATGGGCTTCATAAATTACACCCAGGGTGCAGATCAGTGAGTCGCTCTTCCCCCATCCCTCAACTGGTCTCTGTCCATCTGCGTATGTGTCTGTGAGAGCCAACATGTTTTGTGTCTGCGGCGTGTGACTGAAGCGGGGGGTTTGAAGTTGTAAAACTGTGTCTCCGCCGAAACCGTTGTCCGGCGTTCGCCCCGCTTCTCTGCCACTCTGTCTTCGTCTGCGCTACATCACGAGAGTCACTTCAAAACGCCACACGTCATCCGCGCCACATGTATGTTGGTGAAAGGTGTGAACAGCTTGTCTGTTTGTTACTGTAAAGTTTAGGCCACATTTGTAAGTGACAGAAAGACACTTTTGTCCAGATGGCTGTTGTTATGTCAGCGCACCTCACACTGAGACTTAAGAGCTTCAAACTGTGTTTGCAGCCTGGACGTATCAGAAAAAAGGAGATTTAAAGGACAGCTACAGACCAATAATGTGTTTCCAAACTTTGTACATAGGCACAACGAACTATCTTAAATACATTAGGGATGCAATCATATCAGCACTGATTTGCAGAATATTACAGTATGTGATAAAATTCTCATTTTTCTGGAAAATGCATTAAAAAAGAGCCTGTTCATAAAGAAACACTTTAACACCAAAACAGGACACAGTACTGTCTGGATTTAGCTAAAGATTATGCTAAATCAAAAACAGTACTGTCTGGATTTAGCTAAAGATGATGCTAAATGCTAACAGTTCCAGGATTCAAACCCAGAGAGATGTGAACTCAACCTGACTGTTTTTTAACTCTCATTTCTAGAATTACGAGACATCTCTGGACAGAACCACTGCAGCCAAGCAACCTTTGTTCCCTGTCTCTAAAAAACTAATTCACCTCTTGGCTTGAAAGAGAATCAGCACATTCCAAAAACCACCTCAGTCACAGGGCTGCGATCCAATATTCTAATGCCACTTCTCATTAAATATACTTTGAAAAAAATCCCAATACAGTAGCAATGGACTACATTATAGAAGAAGTTACTAGAACGGTGATCCACAGCCTGTGGTCTGATGGGAAAACATTTCCCTGGTAATGCTAGTTTCCATTGTTTTATATACTATTTACATGTCCACCATACACAGCACAGTTTAAACGTGTAGAACACAGTGTGGTCTGTAGATGCTGCCTCGATGCCCAGATGCTGCCTCGGTGTTGTAGAGCATTTTGCATTGTTAATTTCTGACATAATGAGCTGGTAAACACAGGAGAAGACAGTCCACTGAATAATCAAGCAGGTGTTCATTAGTGCACAAACCCAAACCTCTGTCACTGTTTTCCTTCATTAGCAGCTAGCTCGTTTAGTCGAGCGCTAATGATGGGTTCTCACAGAGACATGGGATTTATGAGTGGCTCCAGCAGGGGAGTAGACGGCCTATTGTAAGAGTCCAAATTGGACAAACCAGAGCAGGACACAAGCAAACAACATGTCATCCCAACGGGGTGTCATTCAATATGATCAAACTTTAACAGCAGAAATCTCTTCCAAATGATTCAGTTTTGTTAGTGTTAGCTAGCACTAAATGATAATGGAGCATTTTTTTCAATGTTCAATCCTGAAATTCTGACCAAAATCGGACCAATACTGATCCTGAGTATTAGCCGATTTAATTCCTTTGGACAGTAGACCAAGTACTGGACACCAATGTACTGTAAGCTATATTTTGTTGTATCTTACCTTTACATGTTTCCCCCTTCTCTTCATATCCAGGACTGCAGAGACATCCACCGATCGGCACTAACCACCCTCCGTCAGCACCGCAGTACATCTTCGGTTCTTCTTTCTCCTCTGATTGGTTGACACAGGACCCCCTGACCTCCACCAAGGACGATGTATCAGCCCCAGTGACAGTGTCAGGAAACGTAGCCAGGTTACGGATGGTGAGGGGACAGGTTTTGTAAAAAACCCTGACGGAGACTAAAGCGATGCAGGCACCGACGTCCTGAAAGGCCAGGTAGAAGCCCTTCCGTGTCGTGACCTTTACGTCTCGCACCTCCGTATTCAGCTTCATGATGCGGTCGCCGACATCCACCTGGAGAACGAGGCGCGCCGTCGGATTAATGAAATGTGCAGTAAACCGTGTCAGTGAATCAATGTGTTTGTTTAAAGTGAAGTGGCAGTTGCCTCTGAATCACAGCTTCACTCCACATCTTCACTTTTCCTGCATTTGGCGCTGCTCCACATTCACTTCTATTGATTAGAAAGGTGAATTCAGATTTACTGTCTCCACTGCTTAAATCAGATGTAATTTCAGTCAGGAGAAAAGCCTCTCTTCTGAGAAGGCAGCATAGATGTCTGTGATGAAAATGCTTGTAAAACAAATAAAGAAATTACAGCTAAGTGCCGTGCTGTTTTTTAAGAACAAATTAAGGTAAGTGGACGAGGACAAAAAAAAAACTCCAAACAAACTCCCATCCCCGGCTCAGCTGATTGGCGTTACCTGGGTGAAGCTCTCGTCTGCTGCCACTGTGTCCACCTTAATGAAGCTGCTCTCTTTGATGTAGCTCTCCCTGTCGTCATTTGACTCGTGGTAGTACAGGTTAAATGTCTCCTTCAGGAATAGAGAGACAGAGACCATTAGAGGAACAATCTGGAGGGTCCATGAATCATTATCGGAGCTCATCGGGTCTAAAAATAGAACTTTGGACCAAGAGGAAATTGGTGCTTGTGAAAAAACACAAGTTAAGTTCAAGATTAGTCAATTATCGTTAGAAAATTTAGCTTTTTACGCAAAGTGAACAGCCTGGAAAAGAAGCGACTAACACCAGGTTTATTACCTCAGCGTCAGCCTCAGTGACACTGTTACAGTGTCAGGGTGGCGCTGTTGAGCATTTTAGGAACATTTACAATACTTCTAATAAGCAGTATAATAGGTGATTGCTGTCTTGCTATGTATGTGTATAAACCAAATGATGACATCAGTAAGATGTTCTGAATTATTCTGAAACTACAGTTTTGCTGCAGTACCACTGTTGATCAGTAGGCAGAATCCAAAACCCAATATTATTTTACAGAGTCATTTAAAAATCAACAACTTATCTCATTAAATACTTTGAATATTTTTATTATTTTTTTCCATTGATGTCATCTATTAGAATGATAAAGTCAAACCCGAGCCATACTAGGGGGCACCACAGTTTGTCAGAACATTATCAGCGTCTCTTCCTGTACCTTGCAGTTGCCGGTGACGCCTGGTAGACTGTTACAGTCCCTGAGTGTGAACTTGACCTCCACGTAAACCCGCTGAGCCCCAGACCGTGGGATCCAGTCGGTCCTGAGCCAGTTGTTTTGATTGGGTTCCAGGACGTTACACACCTGGTATGTTCTGATGGGGATGTTCTTCTCGTCCATAATGCTCACCTCTTCCCACTGAAGAACACACACGCCAGCTCAACATGAACATCACATTTAAAAACATGATGATTTCATTCCAACATGTTCCAGTGCAGCCGCTGGGTGGAACGCTAACAGCAGGAAAATGAAATTGAAAACAGTTGAACTATCATTAAAACAGATGCTCCATCAAAGACATCACTGAACTTTAGACACTAATTGCCAAAGTTGGGAAAGTGTCATGTGTTAAAGCAGGTTTTTCCAAACTTCTCCCTATAATTAGCTGCCAAGTAGCGGTGCTCTCAAGCAATGCTAGTGGAAATTAAAACCTGGGAAACAAACACACACACACACAAACACACACAACTATGAAAACGCAAGTCTGCCTATAAGCGAGCAGGTCACATTTGAAAAAGCTGCTGACACTTTGAGATTTAAGAGTTTGTGAAACGAGGGCTTTGGCAGAGAAGGTGCCAGCTTCATGAAATATGATTTGCTGAGAACTAAAAACAAAGGAGGCAAATGTTAAAAGTAATGATTTTGAAGTTGGATCTGTAAAAGGGTGAAGTGTGGTGATTTTTTTTGTACAAACAGACAGCCGTGACCTTAGTTTGACCCCATGTAGATTTGTCATTAAAACTCTCGTTCTTAGCCTTGGAGGAGAGAGATTTTGTTGTTTCCTTCAATTCACTATCTGGTCATTTAAATACAGAAAAGCAAGTTCTTTTACATTTTATAAAATACATTTGGAAAATACTAAAAAGCGTCTTTGATTCCTTTCAATGTCGTCCTTTAAAACCTAAGGCTGAGCTCGGCTTTGTTCTCCACGATTCCTTACAGTGAGTCGTGGTTCCAAACTGTTGGGAATCCGAGGTTTTAGTCGGATTTTTATAGAAAAGTGCAGCCGACTGAAGCTGTACAGCTTCATCCATCTCAATACAAACCTGCCCTGTACTGTGACCCCTGAAATGATCCCTAAACCGCCCAAAAACTAAATTACCTTTTTATTGCTGCTGAATAATAACATGCCTGCTGCCGACAAGTGTGAGCTGTATACACACAAAATGCACCATGTCGAGAGGGGGATAAAGAGAAGAGGGTCTGCAGCTGTGTGAGCATGTGTGTGTGTGTGTGTGTGTGTGTGTTCAGATTCCAACACAATAGCCCACACAGCTTACTCACAGATAGTGATTATTAGCATTAAAGCTAATTTTAGAAAAAAACCCACTCTTTAAAAGACAGAAGTTAAAGCTTCAAATCCATATGATTCGTATTAATTCAAACATCAGACATACAGTAGAAGGTCTATTTCATTTTTATGTGTTATCATATTCATACAATACATTACAATATTGATTACAGCTATTGTTTCCTCTACTCCAGCAAATTTGTCTCATGGCTGTTAAATATCACATTTTGTACTGGCTGCAGAAAAAAACCCCAAAAACACCCTCTCCCTCCTCATCATTCGTCCAACTCTCTGGTTCAACTGTCGGTTGGTAAATGCTATATTAACAGCATATAGACCTGATTAAAATGAGCGCCTCCTTGTGTGGAGTGGGCGTTCAGGACGTTTACTCTATGACCTTTTTGTGAGTTTATGCATATATAGTCATTTCTGTGGTGTGTTTAGAACTCCATCTGTCTTTTTCTTTTTTCTTTTTTTAGGACAAGTAGCCACGATTTGGTCAAAAAAACCTGGTCTTAATGAGGCAGAACCTCAGAGAGAGAGAGAGAGAGAGAGACTGTGGTGAAACTGGGATAAAGATGTGAAGTGTAGCTGGGTTAAGGTGAGGGTTAGGCTCTGACCGGCTTTTGTTGGAGTGAGGAATAAGGTTCTGGTTCAGATGTTAGTGCAGGCTCCATAACAAATGTAGATGAATGATGAGGGGCCTGTGTGTGTGTGTGTGTGTGTGTGTTGATGAAAAAGAGAGCCACAGAAAGCTGTCTTCTGAACGATGCCTCCTCGTCTGGTCTCCTTCGGTGTCTTTGTCAACAGACAGAAATCACAGCTGTCAGGGGGTAAAACTGCGCTGCACTTGCCCCGATTATACAGAAATGGTGTTTTGTCTGTATGTGTGTGTCACCGAGGGACGCGGAGGGTGGGGGGGGGGGCAGGGGGGAGGTGCCTGTACTCAAAAGCTCAGTGCGTGCAGACCAGGACCCTGTCAATCAGGGCGTTCGTAAGAGAATAAGAGCACGCTGACCAAAGGAGGAAGAAAAAACAAGTCAAGTTCACCAAAAAAACTCTTACACCGACACAGAGCCAAGAGACAGTGAGCAAACGGAGGACGGAGGGAGAGGATGAGGCTAGAGACGCTCCAACCACAAACACTTGCCAACGATAAAAAGTACAAAAAGATGAGAGGAGATGGAAATCAAAAAGATATTTCCAGGATTCTTCCTGGCAAAAGCCTGGCAGTAAATTTCCTTTAAAGACGACACCCACCACCAAGCTGGTTTCTGCCGTTCTACGTGCCAAACTCTCGACGCCAGCACTTTCACATTAGCACTTAAGCCTGGTAAACAACCACACATTTTAAAATCTTATTTACAGTTTCCAGACCATGTGTGTGTATTAGAGACAGGGGGAGAGAGAGAGAGTGGGGGACCGGGGGGGATTCTGAAGGACTGATCCCACTCAAAGACGGTGAAGATTGTGAAGAAGTAAAAATATTTTCCCACTCACCCCTCCCTCTGAAGGACTGGCTGCCCATTTCAGCTCTCCTGGCACTGTCCTGGTGTCCAGCAGGGTCACTAGAGTGAACACATGAAAACATTCACATGGTTTCAGAAGAAAAGCAGCGCTGAGTATGACTGTGTTTGAAGTGATCGACCAGTTTAAGACAGTTGAATTCAATTAGAATCACTCACAGCCAGTTTTTCTAAGTGATGCTAATCAACCTTGGTCCAGCTGATTAAATATTCCAAACATCATCGTTAGAATAATACAACACTAAAAGAAAAGAAAAAAAAACCCTACAATTGAAAATGTCTGTTAAAGATTTTCAGATTCATTGATTTCCCTGTTGTAACTGATGTTTTTTGTTTCTCTCTGGTTCTTCCATGACTCATTGGTGTAGGTGAGAAGCTGACCAGTCCTACTTCATCATCTCCCTGGACCATGGTGTGGTGTGATGGTGATGTGATGCAGCCATGGCTACAGTTCGTCAAAGAGCCTGAGAAATGACTCTTCATTTTGAAGACTACTGTCTACTGTACTGATGTTGGACTCTTATCTACACTTGCACATTCAAGCACTGGCACGTCTTCATTTATAAGACGGCCCCAGGTCTGCTGTCTTCGTATCACTGAACCTACAGCACATCTGTTGGAAGGATTTTTTTTTTCTCAGGACTTATTGTTTCTCTCTGCACCACAGCTACGAAGAGACACAAAGAAGAGATTATAAATGGAATCATTTTTAGAGTGCTGTGGCTCAGTGGACACTTTTAAAACACGTCTAAGTGACTGATGGTTAATGCTTTGACACATTGAATTCGGATTATTATTATTATTATTACTGAGGGTTTTTTTCTGCCCGTCCTGTCTGTGCCTGACTGCTGTCTGTTTTACCTAGAACACCGTGGGGCAATATATCCTGCTGTCTGTTTTACCTAGAACACCGTAGGGCAATATATCAATATATCAATTTCAAAGAGTTTCATAATAAAGATAATATTTAAAGATACTGCAAGAAGAGAAAAATGTATGCACATCCTGTATCTGTATCCAACTCCAGAGACTTTACTCTTAACTATTACTGGGCTGCATCCCTCAATTTGAGAAACACTAAAGCCTATGGAGGACATCTTCATGTCAGTAAATCACAAAAGCCAAAAAATAAAAAAATAAAAAAAAATTAATAATTTATAACTTCATGCAATTTCAGAAAAATCCACAAAATCTAAATCCCGGTGACAGAGACAGGGAATCAAAAGTCTTTCCCAAGTGATTGAGGAGTCAACACTGCTGCAAACTGACACCAAAGGTCTGACTTAATGTCTAATGTGAGAACAGATGAGACCATGTTTACAGTCAAGGAGACAGGAGTGAGTCTACACGAGAAACACTGGGAGAAGGGATGTTCCTGACAGCATCCAGTCAGCTCTGGGCTCCACGGAGATTTCTATTCTCTCATTGGTTGTGCAGCAAATATCAACTTTTCCACTCTACAACAATCAGGTATATTCTACATTTTCTCCATCTCATCCAAATGTTCTACTTTTTCCCATCCCGGAAAGAGACGCGCACGGACGGCGCATTTCTTGCCGACTTCCAGGAGCGCGTCGCGGCGCAGCTCCTGGAAATCCAAACCCTTCTCCACTCACCTTCATTCGGTGGATAAATCCGTGTCCTCGAACCCGCAACCAGTGTCGTAATCCAGATACAAGTGTAAAACAATCGCCATATATTTGCAGCCATGTGTGAGCGCAAGTGAACGACGTTGGCTGTGCGCGCTGGCAGCTCCATCCCGGTGGGAAAAGTGTGTGTGAATGAAGTCAAGTGTGAGAGTGTGTTGGATGCAGCAGCGGATACCGGGGCGGTCTCTTCCACTCAGATGCGTCCCCTAATGGTAATTGAAATGGCAGGAGCCAAATGACAGGCGGTGATGTGGTCCATATTAGGGATAGGTGGTCACCTTAGTGTTTGGTATTACATGGATATATTTTTTAATCGTTCCATGCTCCGTGGAAATATTTACCGAGAACAATTAGACCCTCAGTGTCTCAGTAATGTAACTTATGTGTGCAGTAGAGGTTGGGTTTATTTTTAAAATATAAAAGATTCATATACTAATATAAACAAATGTCTGAGTCTTGGTACTGTAGTACACTGGTCAGTGGAATATTACAGTACCAGGGGCAGCCAGTTCAGTACTACATGTGAGATACTCAAGTCAGTATTGTAGCTGATCTCATGGCCTATACACAATAGTGATACATGGGCCATATAAGTGGCCCACATCTGGTATCTACCAGTGGACATGTGGTATATGGAACGTTAGCTGCAAACTTCAGTAAAATTTCATTTCTTGTCTCTTGTTTTTGTCGTGTTGATTGTGTCTAGATGAATATATAGCCAGAAAATGTGCTGTGTTGCTTTCGGGATTTTGACCTTTAACCTTTACACTCCTCTTTCTCCTCCTCCTCTGTTCTCCTCACCTCCTTTGTCTTAAAGATCCTGAAGTAAAGTAAAAAAACAGATAAAACTCTCTCCCCTCATTACAGAGTCTTATTCAAAATCCATTTTATGACATCATCATTTTCAGTGAAGTGGACTGAAGCCAAACGTTGGGCTACAGCCTGGACAGTTGACCAGTCCACTGTAGGGCCACATACAGACAGAACAACAACCAAACACACTCTCCACCACCACAGAGTGGACGGTGTTTTAACCCTGCGTCCCTGTTTCATAGACGGTGTTTTAACCCTGCGTCCCTGTTCACCCTACGCTCCACTGAAATGTAACCTCCTAATATATTCATATTCATTGGCTCGTCAGCATCACATGACTTAAACAAGGGAAACAGACAAAGGAGGACATCAGACCTGAGGTCATGTATGTTCAATGTCTTTGTTATGGTAAGTCACACAAACTGAATCTCTTCTGAAAACTGGTTGTTCACTAATTTCCTCGGTGGTATCAGCTCTGAGAGGACGGCCGTGGCACTGAGGCGTGTGACTACAGAGCCATCTGTTGGTGGTTGTTGAAGGAGGCAGAACACAACTCAGGGGCTGCTCTCAGACTCTAGGCTGTTCCATATCTTAGGCCCTGAAAATCAGAGGCTTCGCTGTTTTTATCTACCATCTGTCAAGGAGCCGGCACTTTTTAAAAAATTTCCAGCAGGACACAAAAAGAAGCCGGGCCGCAGCTTTGTGCAAGTGTTGGAGCAAACAAAGAGCAGGCGGACGACCCGTCCTCCTACACATCCTCTCTTCAAAACCCTGCTCCTCGCTTACCCACGACGGAGGTGGAGCTTGAAGAGGCGAACACTTTATTTTATTTTAAAATGATCTAATGAAGTTGGTCTCCTCTGAAGTGTATTTTAATCACACACAGTGAAACAAGAACAGCCTTCTTTGTACTTGACGCCTGGTTAGCTCGTGGCTACCTTCTGGAACTAGAAGATTACTGAGTAACAATGTCCGCGTCTGTGTTTTTTTCCCTTTTTTTTAATTAGACTGTTTTGATCTGGGGACAGTGTCTGAGAGCCTGCTTTTGCACGTTTGTGTTTGTGTGGTTCTCAAACCGGGGCCTGTGTCTCCAGTGCGCTTTGTGTCTCTGCAGTTGCTAGGTCGAAACCATCTCGATCCCCTGTAAAGCATCATAAAAGACCCAGGAAGAGCATCTGGCTCTTTCAAACACCAGAAACCATCTCTCTGCATCGACCTGCCACTCTTCCCCCGCCGCTATAATACGGTTTTCACGTTTCATTCTCCCCCAGCGTCACGAACGACTGCGCAATCACAAAGACCCAATTAGCCAAGATTGGATCACGACTTCGCTCGGGGACAGACGAGCCAATCGCCTCGTTTTTGGTATGGCGAGGGCCTATGGGGCGGCGGCGCAGGTGGGTGGGACATGGCCGCGGGGCGGAGGTTGGACCGAGAGCGGCCCGTTGTTTCTGGTCATTTGTGTCACCAAAGTTTTGATTGATGACCGTCGGGATGTTTTTCCCACTCTCCCTTGAGATTCCCAGCCCTGTGGTGGGGGCTTCGACGACAGGCCCCACCTTCAGACCCTCACTCTGAGTTTGGCCCTCTGCTACACACACACACACACACACACACACACACACACAGTTGAGGGTGCAGGTGGCTGCAGCCCACACATCTGTACTGTGGGCCACAGCTTTTTAGAGTTAGCCTGAATGCAGCAGACTCCGTCTCTCTATCTGACAGTTATAGGCAGAAACAGAAAAGACTAAAGGAATAAAGCAAAGGAAATACAAAGTGGCCAAATGTAAATGTGTGCAGAATGTGAGAGAGTGGAGAGAAAAGCCCGAGGGACGGTAGGTGTGTGGGCGGCTGAGAGAGAGGAACAAAAGAAGCTGAGATGAAGTGAGATCAGGAGCAGCGCAGCGCCACTGAAGATGTGATTGGTGGTGCTTTGGTGTGTGTGTGTGTGTGTGTGCGCGTGTGTGTGGAGTGGTGGGGGGTCTTTCCTCAAAGCCTCTCTAAGATTTTTCCTGGAGAGCGTTACGTTTTAATTCCAGCTCTACAGTCCCTACATGGAGTGCTAACAATTTGCTAGACAGTGGGGGGGGGGGGGGGGGGGGGGGGGGGGGGGGGATCCTGCAGGAAGTGTCACAGATACACAGATACAGGCCGCGCTTGCTAAATCTGTCCAGTGTGAGAGCTGCGGCGTCTAAACTTGGGGAGGCGCAGCATCATTAGCATGTCAGAGGCATTTCGTTTTTTGGATCCCGGCGCTCGCCATAACAGCTGCTAGTCTGGCAAATGACTCAGTTGTGCTGCGTCTGCGTGTGGACGCGAGTCTATGTTTATGCTTCATTTGTGTGCCCAGTATAAACAAAGGAAGAAATGAACAGACGGTTTCATCAAACGTGTGTGTTCGTGCGTGCGTGTTCATGTGCCATGTGTATCTCTTTGATGACTGAAGAGATTTCCATCAACATCTTGCTTCAGAGTGTGTGTGTGTGTGTGAGTGTGTGGTGTTGCAGTGATGAAATGTTCCCTCCATCCGTCTGTTCTGCTGGCATTTACACCTTCGGACGGCTACAATAGAAAAAAGAAGGGGTGAGGAGAGAGAGAGAGAGGGAGAGGGAGAAGATCGTGTGATGTTGCGGTTTTATTTGTCACCGGGTCGTCTCCGTCAGGCCGTCCCCGCGTGATCTTTTAACGTGTCAGATTGTGTCGCAGCGGCTGTGGGAGGATGTGATGTCAGCGGAGCTGCTGCGTCTTCCTGTGGATGTGGTTACAAGTTCTCCGAGTTTGGGTTTGTGTCGGGGTGTGAGTGCATTTGATGGAGGCAGCGAGTGAAAACTCATTGTTCTCTCCCTCCTTATCTGTAGTCTCGGCAGACAGCCCGTGCTGTTTCCCCTTCAGCGGTGTGACCTGGCTGTGGTACCACCAGCCCTAATCTACGCCGATAACAGACCACCCTAAAAATACTCCTCTTTCTCCTGCCTCACAATCTCCTCCTCTGTTCTCCTCGCCTCTCCTGGCTCGCTGTATCCTCTGGAGTCTCCTTGGCCAGGAGTTATCTCTGCCAGGATAAAATACCTCCAGGCACTTCCCCGTGTCACAGGGCTTCTTTTTTAGCCTATATTTCTCTCCTTTGTTATCTCCGTGTTGGCAGCCACTGATATTACAGTGTCTGCTCCAACAGCACAACTCCGACTGTTATATCACAACTTTTTCTTCTGATTTTCTTTGCACAATGAAACTCCCCCTCTGAACCACCTCCACCCCACCACTCCACCCCTCTCCCGCAGCTCCAGTCACCCACACTCGGGACACACGGGGCAGATGGGATGTAGGAGGAGATGCTGAGGACAGGATCTGCTGGGCTCACATAATTGTACATCAAGTCATTAACCGACGGAGCCTTAATAAAATATTGAAAAGTGCATTGTTTTGTGAGCCTCACGGGTCTGACAGGCTGGAACAATGCTAATTATGACAAAGTGGGCTTCATTCTCAAGCTGCGGCTCCAGCCCAGCACTGAGAGAACGGTTGTTGTTAATCTGGGCCTCGACTCTGCTGCGTTATGGAGTGGTTTGAATCAAAACCACAAAAACTCTCTCTGGAAGAAGTTTCTCGCTGATGTTTAAAATCTCATGCATCTGTCGAGGTCAGACTGCCGTCCTTTTGATCCCTGCATCCTTGCATTTCTTTTTGGACCCAGCCCACGCAGGTGACCAGAGGGTGCCGTGTGTGGGTGGACAACTCAATGGTGACCCCCCCCCACAACACTGCCTTTTGCTACCCCTCACCCTCAGCCTCCTTCACCCCCTCCCCTTGTCTCTCTTCCTGCCCATTCTCTGACAGTGTGAGGCCCAACTGAAGGAGCGGGGTCCCAGGAAAAGAAAAACACCCACTCACAAACACCGACCAAAATGTTGCAGCTGCAGCAACCATGGTAAAAAGCCAACTTGGTTTAAAGATAAGTCTGATCACAGGATTATTTTTTCTGTAATAGAGGTGACATCAATAATGATAAAGAAATATTCTCAAAAGTATTCCATAAACTTTTACTTTTTAAAAAAAATGTTTTCTTACTGACAGCATTTATTTAAGAAGAAAAAATTACTCTGTTACAAATTTTGAATTTTAACCCAGCATCACAGCACACACTGAATACTGAGTGAGTAAAACTGCATGCGAAATAACCAACCAATCAAATGTATCGATCAATTATTCATCTGTGTGTCAGTACTGGATGCTAATAGTTAAAAAAATCAAGTCATTCCATCATTTTTATTTTATTGATTTATTTCTAGGTCTTCTTATATAATATAATATTATACATATAATATTATATTAAATTATATAATATAATATAATAAATACTTTTTTTTTTCAAATAACCAATTCTTTGTGGGTGTGGATCATTTTAGAACCATGATGCCAAATGAGTTATAGATTGATCCTTTCATTCATATTCTACCACCAGTTCCCTCCTAGGGAGGTGGGAGGAGTTAAGAGGAGTCAAATTCACAAGGCCTGAAAGTACTAAACAGTTTCAAAATCAGAATTTAAATTCTCCTTTTTAACCTGCTGGCTGTGCATACATACAGCACAGTGTTACTGTTAGACAAACTGAAGCAGAATCCTTGTTGAAATAATGACTGATGATTACTAAATCACACACGCAGCAAGACTTTTGAACACAAGGGAGAAAAAAAGACTCAACAGCTCAACAGGAAGAAATCTCCAGCAGATCCAGGATCAGTGTTACCCCCTGGCTCGACAAAGGGAGAAAGAAGTGAATGGGGGAAACAGCAGAGAGGGGAGAAAAGAGGGGAGGGATGCTGGAGCCTGTCCCAGCAGTCGCCACGCGGAGGTGTGGTACACCCTGGACAGTTCACCCCCCCCCAGGCCCCTCCCCAAACCACAGGGTCACATATAGAAAGAGACAACCATTCACACTGATGGTCAATTTAAAGAAACAAACACAGGAAGAACAAACCATCTAGTGAGCAGGAGGATATTTAGCAGCTGTTTATATGCATACTATAACTGTCTTTTTGTATAAAAAGATCAAAAAAGTCAATTGTTATATTATTTATAATTATATATATTATATTGTTACATTGTTTATTACATAGATTTACATTTCCCAAGAATAGATGTGTACACAAAGTAGTTACTAGTTCCATCATCATCAGTAAATAACACCAACACTGCCCCCTTATGGTCAACTTTGGTATAGGCAGTTGTTGTACATGATGAGAAGTGGCATTAGTTTGTGTGATGTTAGTTGTGGTGATGATGTGTGGGCAAGACTGACACATGGGAGGACAGGATTTCTCAAAGACGCCACAAGTTGGCCCAATCACACCGAGGGAAATGAGTGATGACCTCAAACTGTCACCAAATGTCAGCGCCTGACAACAGTCAGAACTAATTTTAGCTTTTAGATGCAACGAGGAGGATACCACCGTCCACACCATATAGAAAATGATTGAAATGAACTGAATGAAGACGCTTAAAGATGGATGAACAGAACAACGTCTGATAACTGGCAATATTATTTGGTACATTTTACACAGAAAATATTCAAGTTTGTTTTATACAAAAAAAAAGTACTTCCTGGTCTTGCAGCTGATTTAGTAACCTGTGCAGAACATTAATTTAAGAAAAAGTTGGAATTATGAAAATAGATGTGTGAAATATTACACTTATTATTATAAACTAATTATTCAAGTATAATTTAGTAATATAACAACAACAGTGGTGTTCTGCCCTCTCTCTTTTTTTGGTGCAATATAAATAAACTAAATAAACTTAATATACTTTAACTTACATGTGCAATATATCTAGCTTAACTTTTGACATTTTTGAGCTGGTTTTTATTATCTACATTTGCAATTTTATTGATTTAATTTTGTTGTTGGAAATTTCTAGCTATTTGGGAAAGCCAGTTTGTATTAGTTTGTATTTTTTTTAAATTAATTGATTAATCACTAATTAACTCATAACACAAAGGTTAAATTACCAAAATAAAATAAAATATTTTTTGTTTGCAATATTGTATTTGATCAATGGACACAGCTGATGTTTCAGGGTCTGATTGATTGGCTTTTTTGACTTCTGGTTATTTTTTATTTATCACACACACACATATATACACATATACACACACACACCCTTAACTTTGAGGACATATCAACATGCAGTGTAGAAGTGAATGCCTAACGAAGGACTCAGGACGCTCTTGGCTACTGTACGACCTCATCCATCCACTCATTACTGCGGCTGAAGCTGCAGCAACACTCCAGTCTCCAGGTGCAGATGCTCCTTAAACAACTAACCCTTCACCTCCTGCATAGTATTCCAACATAAAGTAGCTTTTAGAGCATTTATAACTGAAGGTTTTCTCCTATCTAGGTCAGCTAGTAACATTTGGAGTTGTCAGCTTTTTGCAGCCAAACTAAGTAGGTCATGCTAACAAGCGAGGGTTTTTTTTTTTTTTTGACAAGCCTCTCATACTCCATCAGTCCTCACCACAAAACAGTCTCAAGACTGCTGATTATGTAAAACACCAAGAATACAGCTTCAAGCCACAATTTTGAATCACGACAACGGACATCACACTGAATTTTTGATGTCACACCACGCAAACTTCATTCAGTTATGCATCGAGAGACAAACACGCTGCAATATGCTGTCCAGAGGCATCGAGGGGGACGAGGGGGACGAGGGGGGTGGAAAAAAATCTAAATGAAGAAGAAGTGATGATCAGAATCTGCTGCTTAATTAACCCAACACGACTAAATACAAATGAAGGCCCGAGGACATCACATGGACCAAATACAGCAGAGTGCTCAACGACACACACACACACACACACACACACACACAGGGACGATGTTGATGTTGCATTGTGGGAGTGGTGGATCCATCTTTAGTAATCAAAGTGCAAAGTCTGCAAATTCCCCACATGATGTAACATTAGGTTTCCTGTCCTCAATTCTGGAGCCGCAGGTCACGAAACCCGTGTACGACACATCCTATATAAACTGGATATGAGATTATGGACTGGATCAGATCTGCTGTCAGTCAACCGCTGTGAGCATGGCTGCCAAGGACAGGACAGTGGTGCTGAGTCTTCTCCTCTGCTTCATACTGGGCTCACTCAGTCCAGCTCTGTGTAAGTTCATCTGAATGTCATGTGATCAGCTCTGTGAACAGGAGTCAAATGTTTATGTGTGTGTGTGTGTGTGTTGATGCTGCAGGTTCCCAGACAGGCTGTTGTACGAGATACAACAGGAAGCCAGTGCCGTTTCAGGTGATCAAGGGCTACAGAGAACAGTCAGCCAAGGAAAACTGTCACATTGAAGCCATCATGTAAGATTTTCTCTCCGACTCACAGTAAACCACTGGGGCCTGTGTTCACGGTGGCCAAGCCAACATAAATGGACACTAAATATTCCTACAGTTGAAAAACAGTTCAAGACTAGTTCTGAAATTCATTTTTACAAACTAATTAAATGTAGTCATTTTCTATTTAAGCATATTATAGGATTAGTGAGCTAAAATGAGCCGTTACACTTCAAGCATTAACTAGTACAGTAGTTAAGTCAAGTTACCGAATGTTAAATCAGTGTCCAATTGAATTTGAATCATTTGATTGTAAATTATTATTCATATAATTATTTCAAATTCTAAAAATTCAAATTCTGCTGCATTTCTCTTTATGTAGAATTTTTAAAATATTCTCAGTTTCTTTGAGCAAAATAAGTCCAAACGTGTACCGACTGTTCTTATTGAATATCTAAAAAGTGCCTTTTCACGATTATATCAAACAACGTCCATCATACAAATCACTGAAATGTGTCCAGACAAAAGTGTAAATGCCAGAGAATCCTTTGCAGAGATAGATTATCTTTTACTAAAGACAGCCAGCAAAGTAGAGCATGGAAGAAGAAAAAAAAATCAACTGTGTCTTTCCTGTAGCCTCTACACGGTGAGGAACAAAGAGGTGTGTGTGACTAAGAGGGACGAGTGGGTGAGAAACACTCTGGAACTACTCAGGTAGGAGATTTCAATCTCTAAAAAAACCCAAACAACTGGATCATGTCTAGACAACAAGATGACTACATGTGTGTGTGTGTGTGTGTGTGTGTGTGTTATAACAGCACCAAACTGAAGAAGATGTCCAAGGAGAGCTCAGGACCTGTGATGAAGAGAAGAAGTCCATCTAATGATGGGAGTGGATCCTTCTTCAGCACCACAGACACTGACAGCTACTATTAGTCTGTCTGTACTTCAAAAAGCCAGCTTCAAATCAAGCCCTGTAGTCAAGTCATATTATTGATACTGCATCTCTGTTTAAGCCTAAAAAGCCTTGTTGTTGTTGTTGTTGTTGTTGTTGTTATTGTTGCTTAACCCGCAGGAATACTCAAGTGTTAGCATTTAGCTCTGAGGCCGAGCCTCTTTATTCTGCTTTTGTTGCCTCTCCATTAAAATCCTGCTTCAATCAGCTGCATGTGCTTCCACATAAACAATATATACCAAATAAATCCACTCAATACAAGAAAACCATTGTTGTCCAAATAAAAACATGTCGTTTTTTCAATGCTTTTAAATAACATTCAGAGTAAAAAGGAAAAAAAAATCCCTGGTAAAAAAACCAGTCGGACCAAGTCCATCGCTGTTTTGCATGTGGCTGCATGTTTTTAGGAAAATTGCTGCCAGTGCACATGCCTGAGGGGGTGTGAGATGATTTCCCTGCACTCGCCCTTAAAACTCGAAAATGCATAAATAAATATATAAATCACGACATGGGGGTCAGGGAGGCAGCGCTATTTCAGATCAACAGCCCCCAAGGGTTTGATTGCTCTGAGAAGGTGACCCCCAAACCAATGTCACCTCAATCCCAAGGAGGCTGCTGTGCAACAATTATAAGTCGCCACCAGATGGCAGGATTGATGTGTGCTTCTGTAATTTATTTATTTTTTTCTAACTATATACAGCAGAAATTGAGCTTTGTTTAAAAAACCTATTGGTTGAAAGGAAACTGAAGAACACACTGACCTTGTTTTGATGATGAACATTATTATTATTATTATTATTTTACTCTTAGCTTCTAAATAACTCAACAATCAGCACAGATTATACAGTATTAAATAAGTCAATAATCACTATTATAAACATCAACATATAACTCTGGAAAGACAGTGACGATGTATTTAAAGGATATTAAAAAATAATAAAAGTATTTTTTTAATATTTATTAGTGATAAGAAGGCAAACTCACTGTGGTTCCCTGACCTTCTCAAACACCCAGTTCTGTGGCTGCAGACTTGATAAGGACGTCCAATATCTGAGTTTAAAAAAAAACAAAAACAAATCAGCAACTTCACTTTAACTTTAATGATGACCTAAAAATGAAGTTGTCCTACAGTTCACATTAAAAGGACGATGATGGAGATTATATTTAAGTACAACATGTACATGTAACTTCACTGTCTATGCTTTAATCAACCATATGTGACACCGTGAATGTTGATATGTGATATTATTCATATTGACTGTTATAACGTGTGTAGATTTCAGGTACATAGCAACCAAGCTACTATTACACTGCTTTTGTTGGTCGGGCTGTCAATCACACTCACTGTCTAATCTTTATTTATTATTTTATTATTTATCATTCAGTATGATCAGACAACAAACCACATTTTACTGATCTAAAAATCAAGGACATTCACAGCATTCTTACAGTCAATTTTAAAAAGCTGTGTTTTGGATGAATGTTTATTTCCTAACTATCACTGGAGATGCCAAGGATGACATGCCGATATAAACCTAAACACAGATCTCCTGTGATAAAGGCCACAGGCAAACCAAGAGACAGTAGATCAGTATCAGAGATAATGATCCACCTTTATTCACCACAGGAAGAAACGTTCAGTGACTCTGCAGGGTTACAGTGTGTTCATCAGTGTGTGGTTTCAGCGAAGGCTGTGTCATGTGACTACTTTCATGTGTTTTTTCTTTTCTGTAAAAAGGTGGAAAAAAGGAACAGACTTTCAGGGCATCCTCCTCCTGAACTCAGCTGAAGGTCATGAAAAACAGTAAAGGAAGTAATCAACAAGGTAGGACCCAAACACAGCACTCCATAGACCAGGATCAGTTTATTAACAAAGTCCAAACTAAAGAACATCGACTTACTGGACAACAGCATCGGGAACAGGAAACAAACAGGAAGAAGAATGAGTGAGAACAGGAAGCACAAAGACAAAACTAAGACCACGAAACAACACGTCAGGAAAAACAACTACCTGCCAAGGACTGAGTGAAGGGTGGAGGTATTTATACCCCGGGCACCAGGTGGCATGAGTGAGACTAATTAACATGAAGGAAACACAGGGCACAGGTGAGTGTGATTACATTAATTACCACAGAGAACCAGGCAGGAGTGAAGGGACACAGACTGACCTGACAAGTCTGAGCATCAAACTATAAAGAGATCACGTCTGCTGTCATGATCCATATTTGACTTTAAAAATACATAAATCAATAAATAACTTAAATGACAACACAGGCTCAGCCAGTTCTGGAGTTATTTAACTGACATTTTCAGGTGTACAAAACAATATTGTGTGGAATCCTTCATCCTTGAAGGATCCTGTTTTGTAGTGAAAGCTTTGAAAGACTGGCCAACGAAGAATGAGAAATAAGGTTAGGTTAGGTTAGGTTAGGTTAGGGAAGGTTAGGTTAGGTTAGGGAAGGTGGTTCATGTTAACGTAGTAGTTACTCACCATGTCTTTTTAATGGTGGATAACGTTGATAACGTTGATAACGTTCCATGTCTTTTTAATGGTGGATAACGTTTTTTTTTTAAAGAATGATGCCCTACAACGTCAATGTGGGCTATAGAAGCTGAAGTGTCCGAACAAAAGAACATGTTTCCATCTTCAGTCAGACCCTCACTTTGATGGAGGGGAGACAGGATGTGACCAACACTGCTGTGGCTTTGAATGGAACTACCCATTTGATTTCATGTAGCAGCTCGCTGCAGTGCATTTCTCCAGTGAAACTTCATAGAACATGTGATCAAATGAGTGGGTGTGTGTTTTTATGCTCTATGTATGTCATCTGTGGTGCAGGTTTTCGTGCATTGTTGTAGCAGTAACACATACAAACACTAACCTCAGAAACACCAGAATACATCCGTGTTAGAAAGTGAGATCAAATTTATATTTGTAGTATTTGTCTGCATTCATATGTGTGTGTGAAAGTGTGTGTTTTGGGGAGAGGAGAGGTGAATGATTGAGATTATTCAACTTTTTTTTTAATAAAAAATACCTTTCTTTTCTTGGACTCGTCTCTGTCTCTCTCCAAGTCTAATTTCTGTACAGCATTTGTTCGAGTACAAAGGTATTTAAAGACAGAACAGTTCAAGTCCATCCTTCCCAACCACAGGCACATTTTTACTAGTCTTTTCCAAACACTTGCTGATTTAAATATTATACGTACAATAAAAAAGCCCACGTTGTTCAACAATGGAAATCATGTCGACACCTCCAGACCACCGGAAATGGTTCAGTGGAGGTTTTGGGACCACAGTGGTGGGCTGCTGGAGGAAGACATTTTTTTTTTCCAGCCATGTGTGTGTGTGTGTGTGTCTGTAGGTGAGATAGACTCGGGCTGCCAGAGCCTTAAATGTGAATGCGTGTGTTGGTGGGCTTATAAGTGGTGCGCAGTGCAAGGAAGGTACCATACCAGTGGAACACAATCACAATGAAATATCTCTGCTTAGCTGCTCTTGTGCTTGTAGCTACAATGGTGTCCACAGTCACAGCCCAAGGTAAGAGCACCACGGTTTCTGTGCAGCTCTACTTTCACTTCATTATTTCAGACTTTGCGGTGATGACATTCTGTTTTCTGTGTGTGTGATTTTTTGAAAGGTGGAATTGCAAGTTGCTGTCGCAGGCATTCAAAAACTCAAATCAACCGAGAACATCTGACACACTACTACGAACAGCACCGACCGCCGTGTCCCATTAAAGCTGTGGTGTAAGGCTGTGAATTTATTCACTGTTGTTGGATTTCTGTGCAATTATAAATCAAACTACACGCCCTGTAATTTGGGATTGAAAATGTAAGAAACTGAACTGACATGTGTGACTGACTGTGTTCCTGGGATGTGATTTCCAACAGATTCTATGTCATCGGAGGAGCCAGGATATGTGCAGACCCCAACAAAGTGTGGACAAAAACCAGCAAAGCCTTCCTTGACGGGGTACATTATCAACGGCAACATACCTCGAGCAAGGTTTCCTTCTGAAGAAGCGTCAAGGACCAGAAAGAAAAGATACCTCTATCAAAACTCTTTTATTTTCACCTACCGCCTGTGATTTTAGTATATTTTTACTACATTATTTTTAATGCTTCTCTTTCATGTTATTTCATGCAGATCTTCTTTGTGAATGTAAACATCAAACTCTGCTTTGATGACTGTTCTATATACCATAATACTAAGGAAAATTAAACATTTCTGAATTGTTGGCTGTGTGGTGTTTTTTTAAAAATTCATCAAACAATTACTGACCTAGTTGAAATGAGAAAATGTCCAAATTATTTACTATTATCCTATTAAGCAGATTGGAAAGAATTAAACGTAGGGAAAATAATAAATAAAGAAATTATATATATAAATATATATAGCTATATATTTTTTTCATCCTTACAAACTTAGAGAAGTTAAGATGCATGGTTAGAAATTATGAAATTCTCACAGAACCGTTCAAAGATGTTAAATGTTAGTAACATAATAATATCATTGGAATTAAAATACATGTACATCTGGGGTCCACCTCTGAGATCTACCTTCACAAAATAAAAATGTCAGAAAGCTTCTTGTGTTGTGCAATATGAGCATATATATAAAAATAAATATATGTACTATATATATATATAAGGCAAGCCTTGAATATGTGTGGTCTGACAGGGGAACAACAATGATAACTAAAAAAAACCTGGATTAACATGTTACAGCGTGTGGGTTAAGAAAAAGTACAACTGAGTTTCAGAACGCTACAGTTGAGGGTGTGTGGGGGGGTTAGAGTGGAGCCAAGACGCTGTGTTCAAACCACATGATGAATCGATGATGGGTTTTCCCCCCACTGTTACTCAGTGTCAACTGAAGGCTGCTACTGTGGCTCCGACTGAGCTACAGACACAATGGCTGCACCATTAGAAGTGTGAACATTTAATGGAAGCAACAGACAATGTCAGTTCACAGAAAGCTGTCTATAACTGTCCTGTGTTTAAGAGAAAATGAACCGAGGCTTCAATACTGGCATATGATTCGAGTAAATGTCCACTTGTCAGACAGCTGAGGTGTTAGTTTCACTAAGGTCGCAAATACAAGTCCCTCCACCTGCAGATGCCAATATTTTAGCTTTGAGTACTTGGTTTAGACTCCTGTCGGAAATACTCCAGGTTTGTAGTCAAAGAACCACAGAGTTTGAAAACTTCTGCAGAAATGTGGTTTCTGTTGTTATTTTCTGTTTCATCGTCCGCACTGTAACGATGTCAAATATACTTTCATTTAAAGGAAAGACAGAGGGTGGTGAGAAAAGGACCATCACGTCATCAGGGTGTGTTTAACTGTCTGTTTAACTGTGTTTTTTTAAGAAAATGATTTTACTAACCCTACAGCTATGACTGTAATTGAAACTAAAAGTAAAGTAAAAGTCTGGGTTTTTTTTTTTTTTTGTACCTTAACCAGAACCACAGGTTCAACCCTGGCCTGTTGTCATGGATTTGTCTCCATGCTCTAGCACTTTTTCTACTCTGTACCACCCGAGAAATCACTGAGCTCTCTGAGTACCACCATGATGGCCAACATTAGAATTCCCCTAAGCTGCTGAGCTACACATTTTTTCTAAATGTTCCACTAATCGTGCACGATATGTTTCAGATTTATTCAACTGAAAATGTAAACGTGTACCACAGTTTGAGAACCACTGCTCGAGGACTTACTCTGGTTCCAAACTCATTGTCCTACAAATCACCTGTGCACCTGCAGAAATGCCAGGTTTGCCCCACATGTCTCACCCTGGAACCCGCCTAAGCAGCTGTTAGGACCTGGTGTTGTTCCTGCTGCACCTGCTTCACTACCAGGAGCCTCCACCAGGACCAGCCACTGAGCTTATTGTGCTGGGAAAGACCCTTTCCTTACCATCCAGGTAATCCCTCCGCTCAGAGTACACCGGTCTGGACTGGTGATTGGACAGTGAGGTTCTGTGCTGCACATTCCTGAGCTGATGATCACCAGGTGTTGGGCCACGATCGACTGTGTCAGAGACAAAGAAGTGGAGATTTCTACTGTTGTCAGCGTGGACAACAGTCCAGCTCAGAGGTTGGGGACTTCATGATCTGCAGTGGTGTAAGCACCTGGTACTACGAAGGACACGAGTGCATTTCAAAAAGGGAGATTAGCTTCATTTGTAGGCCGCGTCCCAGAGGTTGGGCATCATTCTGTATATGGGCTGTCAGCCATCTAACAGTATGTGAAACAGTGTCTGTGTGACAGAATGTCTTCACTGAAACTATTTTAGAAGGATTGACAACAAACACCAGATGAAGGTTTGTTTACAGCTGGTAAATACAGACTGAGAACCTACACCGACATATACAGTACACAATACTGTGTATTCAGACTCTCTGTCTCTCTGCAGACCAACCTTAAGTCCCGCCCACCAAAGACCTGAGGCTTAAAGTTAACTGATGTTTCTAGGAGTCAGTAGTTTGTAGGAGAGAGTGTAAATGTTCCTTCTTATACTGTAGGTTATAAACGCACACACACGCACGCACACACACGCACACACACACAGATCCAGACACATACACTCATCTCCATATATGGCTCTTCCTTCCTGTTTAAATCCCACGCCTTGAGCTTATAGTGCTAAAAAAAACCTTGAACTTTCTCCTAATGTGTGTTCATTGCTACTGAGATGTGATGCAATACTTCATTAAAATACAGGGAAATACTCATTTATGTATTTGATAAAAATTCACCCTTGTTATCAAAAAAGTATATATATATATATATATTTGTCTGTTTTCACTAACAGCTGTTTAATTATGTAGTGTTTGTATTAGCAAGGGATAAAAAATTGCTCCGATTGTAATTTTTCTAAGAATACAGGACACAGTTCTGTTTACGCTGTTCTTCAGAGAAAGGCAGCCACACTCAAAGGTGTTTGTGTGTATACAAGTGCATACAAATACAAACTACACACGTAATGAACACAGCCCCCCAGGATGTGCAGTAAAACCACTTCAACTGAAACAACAATAAACATCTAATAGAAAAAAGCACATGAGTTTTAATATGAGATTTGACTGATATATATATATATATATATACAGTATCTATATATATATAGATATATATACTGTATATAAAAATTCTCTAATTTTTTAGTTTAAAGCAAATATATATATATATTATATAGTGTATATATATGCATATATATGTATATTTGCACATATATATACATATATATTAGAAAAAGTTCTCAAATTTAAAGCAAGGTTGGTTTAAAACTATAAATTATTTAACATGTTACTAATATTAAAAATATGTTAACTAATGGAATAAAAACTTTAACTTTACTGTTATTTCTAGTCTAGATAATTAATTTTGACACCGTTTTCCTTTATATTTAAACATAAAACCAAAAACACATAGCATTGGAGGCATCTTTATTGGGAGGTCTACATAAACACATGGGGACACACAAATCTATACACCACCAGCCCATACATTATATTTATACTTATATTTCATAGTTATCTTAAAAATATATATTATATTTCAGCTTCTTCATGGTGACATAAGGAGGGAAGTTTCTTGTGTTCTGGTTCCTAAAACCTGCTCATCTGCTGCTTCCTGACATTCTTGCACTTCTGTCTTCTCTTGACTCTACGTGCTTTCCTCCATGGTCGTTTTCTTCTTACCATTTTCACAGCTGTTGGCATGACGTCACCAGTCGTCACCTGTTCACTCTGCCTCACCTCTTGTGGACTCTTGGTCACTTCCTCCACTTTCACCATGGCTTTCGTGGAAAACTCCTTCTTAGGGTCAGAGGTGACCCCCCTCACAACCTCTGCCTCTGTCCGAGCTGCTGGTGTGACGTCACCAGTCGTCACCTGTTCACTCTGCCTCGCCTCTTGTTGACTCTTGGTCACTTCCTCCACTTTCAGCACGGCTTTCGTGGAGCGCTCCTTCTTAGGGTCAGAGCGTGTTCTCTTCCCAACCTTGTCATTTTTCACAGCTGCTGGTGTGACGTCACCAGTCGTCACCTGTTCACTCTGCCTCACCTCTTGTGGACTCTTGGTCACTTCCTCCACTTTCAGCACGGCTTTTGTGGAGTGCTCCTTCTTAGGGTCAGAGGTGACCCCCCTCGCAACCTCTGCCTCTGTCCGAGCTGCCGGTGTGATGTCACTGGTCGTCATCTGTTCACTTTGTCTTTCCTCCTGTGGTCTTTGTGTCACTTCCTCCCCCCTCAGTGTGGCTTTCGTGACACGCTCCTCCCTAGGGTCAGAGCTGAGCCCACCCTCTGCCTCTGTCCGAGCTGCCGGTGTGATGTCACTTGTCGTCATCTGTTCACTTTGTCTTTCCTCCTGTGGTCTTTGTGTCACTTCCTCCCCCCTCAGTGTGGCTTTCGTGACACGCTCCTCCCTAGGGTCAGAGCTGAGCCCAACCTCTGCCTCTGTCAGAGGTGCTGGTGTGATGTCACTGGTCACCACCTGTTGACTTCTCCTCGCCTCCTCTAGACTTCTCATCTCCTCATCCACCTTCAGCATGGCTTTCTTGGTCCACAGGCTGCCAGGATCAGAGCAGATCGTCTTCCCTTTCTTGGTTAGAAACCTGCAAGGAATTGTGTGGTTTTTAAAGACTTTTTAGTATTTTTTTTATTTTATTTTAAATAATCATCATTCGATGTAGTCATGCTACATCTATTACAAATGTTGAACTTCAGTCAGTTGAGACTCATACTTACACAACAGCACCGATGGAACAGAGGCCTGAAGACTGAATTGTGTAATTCCTTATGTTTTCAACTGGGACTCTGGTTTTGGACAGGCGAAGACAGCAGTTGGACGTGTGTCCCTGGACTAAGAAATACACACAACAGAACAGTTACACATCTTTAATTTCATCTTGAATACATTCAGAGTGATAGTAAATAACAGGTGTTTGTCTTTGTTGTCAATACTCACTTGCATGTGCCAGGCTTATCCATGCGATGAGGCAGAAGAAAGACCCCAAAACAGGATTTAAACTCATCTTTGCATTCACACTGAGACCTTGTTGTTCAGCGGCTGATGGAAGAGCCTCCCGGCACAAATGTCCAGAATCGCTCACGGAGAGTAACTGTCACTCAGATGGTGGTTCTCCAGACTCAGGTCCAGTTTGCAGACGGTGTGTCTTCTGTGAGGTGTTTGTTCATTCAGTGAACTCTGCAGGCATTTAGGACTCTAGTACTGAAGATGATCACTCTTATAAGATACCACTCCCCTCCCCCCTCCCTATTCTGAGTCACCCACCTGACTTCAAACCGTCTCTGTCATGTGCAGTTACCCCAACCCCACTGTGGAGAGAGGAAACAATCAGCCAGAGGTGTGAAACAGACCCCTTCAACAACCACCCTGCCCACAGTGCAGCGCGTTCACCGTAGCATCGCTCACAATTACAAAGAGTCACAGACACAACACATTAAACCCCACACTTTCCATCACACACATGCTGAAGCCACAGAGAGTTTTCATTTCACAAGATAAAATGAAATGACCTTTTTTTTTCTGTTGTGGGGAAAGTTATTGAGGTTTATTACTCTTAATTAAAGGTCAGAAATAATGCACTCTTAAAAACCCCAGAACGTATGAAGACCAACACGAAACATAGTATTCACTTAATTACTATGACCTATTATAAACTACCGTTGTCCATAAATATGTATTTTTATAAATATATACAGTATATATAGAGAGATACTATATATATGTATAATATAATAATTATTTATAATAGGAATATGTATGATGTTGTTAACACCAACAAATCACCATTTCAATTTCATGTAACTAGTTAAACTTGTTATTTATGGTTAACTAGTTTAAACTACCTCTGTCTCCTAACCCCATTTCCTCAAAAAAGATGATACATTACATGACATTTATACTAAAAACTATAATCTGGAAATGCCATCAATACTTATTTATAAATAATATATTTTTCTGTTTCACTAATTCCCCATTTGTATGTTTTTTAAAATCATTTATTTATTTTTACTTGGGTTAGGGTTATGTTCTTGACTTTCTGCTGATTCTCTGTTAAAGACTCAACTCCAATGTACAGATGTATTGAATGTATTATTTATCTGCTCATTTGTGCAAACTATGGCCTGGGCTGTCCTGCTGTAAAATCCATTCAGCTCATGGGTGAAGAGTCTAATATACAGCAGACCTAAACACACGTCAGCCCCTGGTGGTCTTACTGTTAAAAACCAGATAGCCCCACTATGTTATAGCACATACATTTTGTTTTTTGTTGTTGTTTTTTGTTTACAGGCACTAATTTCTAAATTTCTAAGTTTTAAAAAACACTAATTTCTTTCCTCGTCCCTAGGACTGACCTATGGTGCCTGGGAGACACACGTGTCCACACCCACTATCCCAGGCTCATCATTATCAGCCCTGTGTCCTGTCATGGGAGAAACACTTCACTGGTTTATTCATCCCTTTCTTATTCATTAGCTGTTGTCCTGGGCTCCAGCCAGGACTGTTAGTTTTCTGACAGCGTAGCTGATTGGAATTAGTCTCCAGATAATGCAAGCGAGTGGAATGTGGCATCGCAGGAAATTACAATCAATACTGACTCTCATATCCTCATCCGACTGCAAATGTGAATGAGGACCACATCGTTGTGCCCTTGTAAATGGACATTAAGGCCAGTGGATGGAAAATAGTGTTTACAGATGGGTTTCACAAATCTCCATGATGTCACCCTGCAGATTGCCAACGTACGGAAATGAAGAAAGAAACCAAAAGCCCCCTGCCTCATAATGTGTTTCTGACCACACGGTGTTGACACTAAATTCTCAGAAGTTCACACGCCCCATGCCAGGGCTGTCATCTGTGTGCCTCATCACAGGAAATGTAGTCAGTGCAGTCATACCCAACTAATGCTTCACTAACCAGCAATTTATATATTATTCCTACTTTACTCTCTACCTTAAATGAGGCTCCTCTCATCCCAACCACAGGCTGGTTACCATTAGGGATACACGATACCAGATTTTTTTATTTTATACAATACCAATTTTTTTAACCCAATAATAATAATAATAAAAAGTGGCCCTTTAACTGTAATATGTATTATTTAGGGATGGGCAAACATCTCTATCATATCAAGAAACAGATGTTAGCATATTATGTAATATCTGTAAGAATTGTTATCAGGTTTTCTTCCGATAATAAAAACCCGATTATGCAAGGCCTGGGTTTGGCCAAATGATGTGTGCTCTAAAAATAGTTTTGGGGATAAACGATGGTATATAAAAGTGAAAGCGTTGCAGCTCAGTTAATTAATCTCATACTCATACAGTGGTTTGTACAGATAAATACATATTACTAGGCCTATATCAGTATCAGTTGATATCGGAAATGAAGTATTTGGACAATATAGGCATATGGGCATATCAAAGTTAACATCAGACATGCCTAGTATTTTTCATAACATATTAGGCATAACAAATGACATTACTTTATTATTACACAATGTAACCATGAATGGATCAGTTCTAGTCTCTGTTACTCTACGTCAGTGCCTAGAAATAACAGTCAAAGAAGTGGTCCTAACTAGTAACATAAACTAGTACACTCACACACAGCCCAGTGTGATTGGCACGTCTGAATGAGAAGAGTAATTAAAGGAAACTTCATCACATGGATATTGGGCAGCTGCATCTGCTGTTTAATAAAGGATCAGATCCAGACCGAGCCAGCTTTGCTGTGATCCTCTATCCAACACACAGGAAAACCCTCCATTCATTCAAACAAAGATGAAGATATGTGACTTCTGTCAACATTTCTATGGAAATACAGTGATGAGTTGCTGATGAACTTCCTTTCATTCCACATCCTCTCTGCATGCACGGCATCAGACGCTCCTCACAGGAAGTAAGACAACAGACAGAAAACTGACTAACGGTCAGTCAAGGCTGTTCTGAGAACTGAGCGCCTGAGCATGACAGGCTGAACAACTGTCTGGGGGAGGAACAGTGAACATCAGCTCAGCTGGAGGACTGTTTGTGTGAGTGGAGCAGAAACACTGGGGCCGTACACACAGATCAACAAACTGCACTGATAATGGTCGAAGATGACACGCCAACCAAAGACAGGCAACGTCAGTTATATGGGAATACCTCTTTGTGGGTGTGGTCTCTACACAGTCAACAGAGAGGAAGACTGCTGCACAGTAAAAACACTTTCTAAAGTGTAATATAATCAAATCCAAGATAAACCATAGACTGGTCTGACTACATGTTTACATTGTATTAATATATATATATATATATATTAAAAATAATCGATCTTTATTAGGATGTTTTAATGCAGCATCAGACAACAATATATAGTACAACACTCATCAAACCTTCTTTAGCCAGTTAGCTTCCATAGATGTTAAAAAACGCACTCATCGCCTGGTTCATCTCTTACCATCATCTGAAAACAGAACATCCTAATCTCTCTAAGAATGAGAATTGAGAACCGGTTCTTGTAGAGAACCAGCTTGACAGTTTGACCGCAGGTGTACATAAGAAACAGTATTCATAAATATTGACGTATCCCCCTGGTCACCGCTGGACAGAGATCGCAGATTTCAGTTTGAGACAAAACTCAGGCTTGCTGTTAAAATGTCAATTAATGCTTTAATTAACCAACCTTCCAATTCATTTCCTGAAACCGGTGAAATTGAAATGAAACTGACCTCCTGACCGGTATCAATTCCGTTGCTATTGACCCCTACACACCCAGCTTCAACTGTGGATCAACCTTCCATTTAGGGAAAGCGTCAATAATCGACCCCAAAATCGTGGCCACATTACCATAGGCATTAGCATAGACATTGCTCTCGTGGCTCTGAGGTGATTTGAATGTCTGTGAGAGTAAGTGACCTGCGCCGCGCCTCTGGCTCATGGTCCAGAGGCCACAGAAGCGAGCAAAGTCCAATCAATAAGAGCTTTAATTATAACGGCGCTCCGCCTGCAGTTCTTCACGGTTGGGAGGCGCGCAATGCCACAGCTGATCCAGCATGATCATTTCAGATGGAGTTGGTTTTCATCGCTTCAGTAACCTGTCTCTTTTAGCCAATGCTATTATAGACAGCAAATTGTCCAGCCCTCTCTTCAGATTAGTAAAATAGGACGATTAGAGGGGAGGCACAGGCCACTTCTGGATTTGGCTTTTGTGCTCTGTCTTCAGCTTGTTCAACTTCAGGTTTGCTTTAGAAAACAATCCGCCAGTTTTGACTAAATCACATTTGTCATTTTTTATTGAATTGAAGTCTATTAGTGTATTAAAAAAGCCAGCGACTAAAGAAAGAAGACTCCCATGTCATAACCTTGTGTTCCTGAAGCAGAAACGCTGCATCCTCTATGATTTATACAAAGCGTGCTTCAATAAAAGTTAGCCATTTGCTCGGTGATTCTGGCCATTTAATTAATGGGCTATTAAATTAAATAGCTGGAGTTTTACACACAGACACAAGGTTAGGTGCCTTAACTCCAGCAAAGGAGCATGTAGCTGCTTTTTAATGACACATTTTATTAGGGTGGCTATTGGCAGACGATGAATAAAGTGTGTTTTTATAATTATGCTTTAGGCAAGGGTAAGAGTGTGGACGGTGTAAGAACGTCACGGCCGTACAACCTGGATGACAAAGGTTATTGTTTCATCTCAAAAAGTATTTGTATTTTTTAGTCTATGCTGAAGTTCTACTGTGTTACAGCAGGTCCTCGGTTTACGACGTCCTCGGTTAATGACGTCCTCTACTTACAACGTTTTATTTACCTTGGAGTAATTTCCAGAAATTTACGACGAAAGTCTTGTTCCATCATTCTGATGAGAAATACAGCACTGTTTACATTGTACGCCATATTTGTTGGAACTTTTTGCCTTTCATTATGGCTCTCATTAGACATAAATCAGACTCTTCTGATGGCAGTGATTCAGAGAAAAGGAAAGTCATCTTCATGGAGGTGAAACAGAGGGTGAGAGACCTCTGCAGTGTCAGTGGTGGACACGGATCATTTTTTTAAACCAGGTCTCTGATCTGTTAGTATTACATAACACTGTAGTGCACAATTACTGCGAGAAAAGTGTCTCAAATGAAGACGTATGGTCTTTATATCATCATAACTGAATTTAATGATGCAGCTCCTTAAATAATATCTGTGACCAAGACTCAATATTAGTTTATTATTAGTGTTTTGTTGT